TACGGTCCGGCCTGTTACGACCCCTCGCACCAAATGGACGGTGCGCGTCGCCAGCCCAGCCCGGCCTGTTCCTGCTTCACGTACGAAGCCTACGGTGTGCGTCGCCAGCCCAGCCCGGCCTGTTCCTGCCACCCGCACCAAGTGTACGGTGCGCGTCGCCAGCCCAGCCCGGCCTGTTCCTGCTCCACGTACGAAGCCTACGGTGTGCGTCGCCAGCCCAGCCCGGCCTGTTCCTGCCACCCGCACCAAGTGTACGGTGCGCGTCGCCAGCCCGACCCGGCCTGTTCCTGCCACTCGCACCAAACCTACGGTGCGCGTCGCCAGCCCGGTCCGGCCTGTTCCTGCCACCCGCACCAAGTCTACGGTGCGCGTCGCCAGCCCGGTCCGGCCTGTTCCTGCCACTCGCACCAAGCCAAGGGTGCGAGTCGTCAGCCTGGTTCAGCTCGTCCCTGCTACTCGCACCAAGCCAAGGGTGCGAGTCGTCAGCCTGGTTCAGCTCGTCCCTGCTACTCGCACCAAGCCAAGGGTGCGAGCCGTCAGCCTGATCCAGCCCACTCCTGCTACTCGCACCAAGCCAGGGATGCGAGTCGTCAGCCTGGGGAGGCTCGTTCCGGCTCCACGCATCAAGCCTAGGGTGCGTTTCGTCGGCCCTGTCCGGCCCGTTCCTGCTCCCCGCACCAAGTCTGTGGTGCGTTTCGTCAGCCCTGTCCGGCCCGGTCCCGCTCTCCGCACCAAGTCAAGGGTGCGCTTCGTCAGCCCGGTCCGGCCCGTTCCTGCTCCCCGCGCCAAGGCAGTGGTGCGCGTCGTCAGCCTGGTAAGGCCCGTTCGTCCTCCACGCACCAAGCCAGGGGCGCGCGTTGGAGGTCCTGATCCAGCAAGCTGGGTCAGATCGGACCGGGGGCACTACGGGGGGAGTGAAGTGGGGTGGTGGTCAAGCCCGGAGCCGGAGCCGCCTCCGAGGAGCAACACCCACCCAGCCCTCCCCTATTTTGGGGTGTAGGCGCGGTCGGAGTCCGCGCCTTTAGGGGGGGGTACTGTCACGCTCTGGCTCCGGGACTGTGTTGTTTGAGCCAGGGTGTATTCATTTGGTTGTGTTGGGTATAGGGTGTGTTCATTTGTTGTGTTTGGTATTGGTTTTGTTTTCCGTGTTTGGTCAGGTGACTCCCAATCGGAGGTAACGAGTGTCAGCTGTCGGCTCGTTATCTCTGATTGGGAGCCATATTTAAACTGTGTGTTTTCACCTTGTGGTGGTGGGTTATTGTTCTATGTTCAGTCGGTGTACTGAGGACTTTACGGATCGTGTTTTGTTTTGTCGTGTATTCAACATTAAAGTCATCATGTTCACTCCCAACGCTGCGCTTTGGTCCTACTTCATTGGCGATCGTGACAATGCCCTTGCTGATGGAAGGAGGTTTTCACTCAAAATCTCACGATACATGGCCCCATTCATTCTTTCCTTTACACGAATCAGTCGTCCTGGTCCCTTTGCAGAAAAACAGCCCCAAAGCATGATGTTTCCACCCCCATGCTTCACAGTAGGTATGGTGTTCTTTGGATGCAACTCAGCATTCTTTGTCCTCCAAACACGACGAGTTGAGTTTTTACCAAAAAGTTCTATTTTGGTTTCATATGACATTCTCCCAATCCTCTTCTGGATCATCCAAATGCACTCTAGCAAACTTCAGACGGGCCTGGACATGTACTGGCTTAAGCAGGGGGACACGTCTGGCACTGCATGATTTGAGTCCCTGGCGGCGTAGTGTGTTACTGATGGTAGGCTTTGTTACTTTGGTCCCAGCTCTCTGCAGGTCATTCACTAGGTCCCCCCGTTTGGTTCTGGGATTTTTGCTCACCGTTCTTGTGATCATTTTGACCCCACGGGGTGAGATCTTGCGTGGAGCCCCAGATCGAGGGAGATTATCAGTGGTCTTGTATGTCTTCCATTTCCTAATATTTGCTCCCACAGTTGATTTCTTCAAACCAAGCTGTTTACCTATTGCATATTCAGTCTTCCCAGCCTGGTGCAGGTCTACAATTTTGTTTCTGGTGTCCTTTGACAGCTCTTTGGTCTTGGCCATAGTGGAGTTTGGAGTGTGACTGTTTGAGGTTGTGGACAGGTGTCTTTTATACTGATAACAAGTTCAAACAGGTGCCATTAATACAGGTAACAAGTGGAGGACAGAAGAGCCTCTTAAAGAAGAAGTTACAGGTCTGTGAGAGCCAGAAATCTTGCTTGTTTGTAGGTGACCAAATACTTATTTTCCACCATAATTTGCAAATAAATTCATTAAAAATCCTACAATGTGATTTTCTGGAATTTGTTTTCTCAATTTGTCTGTCATAGTTGACGTGTACCTATGATGAAAATTACAGGCCTCTCTCATCTTTTTAAGTGGGAGAACTTGCACAATTGGTGGCTGACTAAATACTTTTTTTCCCCACTGTAGCCTCGTTATTGTTATTTTATTGTGTAACTTTTTATTTTATTCTTTACTTTAGTTTATTTAGTAAATATTTTCTTAACTCTATTTCTTGAACTGCATTGTTGGTTAAGGGCTTGTAAGTAAGCATTTCACGGTAAGGTCTACACCTGTTGTATTCGGCGCATGTGACGAATACAATTTGATTTGATTTAATTTGAAGTCACCATTGGCCTCATGGTGAAATCCCTGAGCGATTTCCTTCCTCTCTGGCAAGTGAGTATCTTTGTAGTGATTGTGTGTATTGATACACCATCCAAAGTGTAATTAATAACTTCACCATGCTCAAAGGGATATTCAATGTCTGCGTTTTTTATTTGTACCAATCTACCAAAAGGTACCCTTCTTTGTGAGGCACTGGAAAACTTCCCTGATCTTTGTGGTTGAATCTGTGTTTGAAATTCACTGCTCGACTGAGGGACTTTACAGATAATTGTATGTGTGGGGTACAGAGATTAGATAGTCATTCAAAAATCATGTTGAACACTATTATTGCACACAGAGTGGGTCTATGGGTCAATGTGACTTGTTAAGCTCATTTTTACACCTGAACTTATTTAGGCTTGACATAACACAGGGGTTGAATACTTATTGACTCAAGACATTTCAGTTTTTCATTTTTTATTAATTTGTAAAACAATTATTCCACTTTGACATTATGGGGTATTGTGTGTAGGCCAGTGACAAAGAAATCTCAATGTAATTCATTTTCAATTCAGACTGTAACACAACAAAATGTGAAAAAGTCAAGGGGTGTGAATACTTCACAGTATCGAGGGTCTTATTTTTGTGACATGATGATCGATACTTGGCTGCCATTTGACAAATAAAAATAATCTTGCTCTGTCCATAATAATCTCATCATGTAGGCTATACCCGCACTGTATCTGCGATCTGTTAGCTAGAGCGCACGTGCCAATACCAGAGTGGGCACATTTGCTATAAGGCAAAACATTTTGTGACAAAACTGTCAGTAGAGTTGAAAATGTGATGGAAACCCATTTAACATGTTTTTTTGTATTTGGTTCATGGGAATTTAACTGCAAAAGTGTTTTATGTGCACCATGTCATCACACACAGCCTTTTATCCGCAACAAGTCCATTTGATGGAAACTCATCTCTGGTGGTAAAGTGCATATATTGCTTTTATGCGGATTTTAGAATATTCGCACAAAAATCTGTCGCCAATTGGATGGAAACCTAGCTAATGAGTTAGACAGGAGGAATCCAAAGAAATGGTAAAAGCCACCCACGGACCCCCGACAATCCACGCCAATCCCACCCCAACAACGAGTATATAGTATCAGATCTCTATGTTTGACGAATAGTATGGAGCTGCGGCTCAGAGGTTTCTTCATCACATGTAATGTATTCTCAGTGATTATTATTATTTTTAGAGAGAAATTTGTCATTGAAGTTGTTGGGTTAATGCCCCATCCTACATCCTGATATTACCAGGTTTGACCACTAGATGGTGCTGTTCCTGCTATTATTATTATTTTTTTTTTAAGGGATAGTTCACTCAAATTACATATTGGTTTTCTTACCCTGTAAGCAGTCTATGGACCAGGGGCATATTCATTACAGCAATCTTTTACCGTTTGAGAACCAAACGGAAGCGAACAGAGCAAAATGAGAGTTTCTATTGGACAAATTCAGGTAGGTCCCGCCCAATTTTGTTTGCTTCCGTTTTGCAACAGAATCGGCGTAATGAATACGCCCCTCATATGACAGCAACTTATGCTTTGGTTTTATTTACCTGGCCACTGTTTCAAATGCAAACCTTTTTAGCATTTGTGTCACAAATCTAATGGAAGTCAAATGGTACCTATATTAGCATTTTCATGTCCAAATCATCCTAAAGTATCTAAAAATGGATTGTGTAACTTAATGATATTACCTATAGTTGATTTAGATATGAAGAGTGAAAATGCTAATATAAGTACCATTGACTTCATTGGATTTGTGACACAAATGCAAAAAAGTTAGCATTTGAACTAGTGGCCAGTTAAACAAAAAGTTTATTGATTGTGTACACAGTTTTTCAGGTGTTATAGCTGGTGCTGCGAAATGCTCATGTTACTAGCTCCTAACAATGCATTAAAATGTCCAACAAGTACGCAAATAATTAAAATGTGATATATAGCCAATATTTTTTATATATAAATAAAAAGAAACAATAAATCAAGAACGGCGGGACGAATCTAATTAACAAGCACCCAAAAAAATATGCACCTAGCTACTTACTTACATTGTCTGAGTGTGACCAAACATGAGCCCTAAGGTTTTTCAAACGTCCCTGACAAATGTCTCTATGACGTGGCCCCAAAATACCATAATCTCACTGGCCGTGCAAGTGTCGCGACAGTTGTTGAAACGTGTGAAACTGCATTCCGGGGGAAGTCATTTTGACTCTGAGCTCCATAGCCATGCAATGACTGCATACGCTTGACCAGAGCCAAAATGGCGTCAGTTTCCCAATACTAATTGCAACTCCCTTCTTTCCAATTCACTCCGTTAATGATGGCGTCCCACAGTACAGGGGGTAGGGTGTCCTGCGGGAGAGATTTGAATTGTGTGCCCGAGGTTGCTGACACTCTTGCGGCGGTCGCTAAACTTGGGTAAGTAAACTGCTTTGCCCAAGCAGTCAAATACTGGAGAGGAGTAGGCTATCGCTATCTACCCTTCGGCTTCATTTCTACACGTGATGTAGCTAGCTAACTAGCTATCTATTTTAGCGCCGCAGGAACAGCTAGCTAGCTAGGTTAATTTGCCGGTGAAATATTAGCACGTGCACTATCACAATGGCTAAGAAATGTTCCTTCTGGCCACGACCTCAATATCTGTTGAATACATTTGACTGGATCCATGACGTTACTTGAATTTATTATCCTATTAAATAACGGTTAGCTACGTTTAAAGTAATTTTCGTACATTAAACTTTGTGCAAGAACATCAGACAACTTGAGATCATCGACAACTCAACTAAAGTGTCCCATCTGTCCCTTCCCTTTCAGGTTTGACTTCTTGTGCATGCCCCTCTTCCACCCGAGGTTCAAGAGGGAGTTTGAGTTGGACCCCGCCAAAGTCCGATCTGGAGCACATACACGCTCTGACCTGCTGCTCTGTGGACGAGGTGAGGTCAGAGGCAACCTGTATTTATACTGGCCTCAATGGTAGAAACTAGACAGTTCATTCTCATGCCCAAGTTCCACTGAGCACAGGAGCATCTACTTACAGGACTATCTAATGACTCTACAGTATGTATTTAAAAAAACATTAAGTATCAGGATATTGAATTTCAATTCTTCCTTACCCAGACTGGAACACTCTGGTTGTTGGAAAGCTTTCTCCATGGATCGAGACAGACTCAGAGGTGGAAACGGAGCGCAGGAATTCAGAAGCGGTGAGTTGGAAATCATGAAAATACTTGGTGTATTCATTAAGTCACACCGTAAAAAAACAGTTGCAAAATGCTTTGCAATGGAAGACGTTTCGCTATGAAAATGACAATTTCTATTGTACAAATTCAGGTAGGTCCCTGCCCATTTTGTTCTGTTTGAATTCTAGTGAATACACCCTGGCCTCCTTTGTCTGCTCAAGCAGACCTTTTGAAACATATTTGCCACAGGTTGAATTGTTGCTCTCTCCTTTCATCCCTCTGTCCTGTCTCAGGCCCTGGTCCAGGAGCTGAACTTCTCAGCGTATCTGGGTCTGCCAGCCTTCATGATCCCTCTGAAGGGCCCTCACTGTGCCAACCTGGCCCGCGTGCTGCTCAACCACATCCAGACTGGACACCACTCCTGCGTGGTAGCTACAGCAGTCAAGCGTTATCTAGCTGTAGCATTTAAGAACTATAACTCATTCTTCATCCTTGGCTTGTATTGTGACTGGCAATTTCATGGTAATTCAGTGAACTTAAAATTGAGGTTATATAAAACCTACAACTAAGAAATTGTGGATTGTTTCATATCAGTTCTGGATCCGGGTCCCCCTGATTTCCTCTGATGACATGCGTGATGACATCATCGAGAATGAGCCAACGAAACACACAGATGATGGCAGTAATGACGAGAAGACCTGGGCCTGGTGGGTCTGCCGTCACGGCTAGGACCCCATGGCTAAGGCATGAAGGTTTTCAGCCTTGTTGTCTTTTGCTTTTTGTAAAAATGTACCTTCTGCTTTTCCTTTTTCAGGTGGCATTCATTCAGAACTCTTTGTGACTACAACAAGAGGATCTGTTTAGGTAAGGAAGCAGGACAGGGAAACATGGTTGGAGGGGTGTTGACAAACTGATAAGGAATTATTTTGGTCACAATTGATACTGACCTGTCTTCCCTTCCTTTCCCTCAAGCCATTGAGGTTGGAGCAGACATGCCTACCAACGCTGTGATCGACAAGTGGCTTGGAGAGCCAATTAAAGCAGCCATTCTTCCCACCAGGATCTTTCTGACCAATAAGAAAGGGTTCCCAGTCCTTTCAAAAGCCCACCAGCAAATCATCTTCCGTCTATTCAAGGTACTGTAAATGTGAGGCTATATGTCAATTGTTATAGCAACTACAACCGTTTTATCTTGTCTGTCTTCTGTTCTTGAATATATGTATTTTACAAAACATTTCCTCTTGTTCTCCCAGCTTGAGGCCCAGTTCATCTTCACTGGCACCAGTCGTCACAGTGAGAAGGACTTCCGCTCCTACTTGCAGTACCTTGAATACCTCAACCAGAACCGCCCTGCCCCCAATGCCTATGAACTGTTTGCCAAGGGTTATGAGGATTACCTACAGTCTCCTCTTCAGGTGTGTGTGTGTTAAGTTTGTAAATAGGCATACCTATATTGTCTGTATGCATTGGATTCTTTGTTTTGTCTCTAACTGTTCTCTTCCCATTAGCCCCTCATGGACAATCTGGAGTCTCAGACATATGAAGTGTTTGAGAAGGATCCCATCAAATACTCCCAGTACCAGCAGGTAAGGAGCCTTTGACATGCATGTTCTCGCAGTATAATACACTGTAACAGATAGCATTAGTGATGTGGCTGGTAGGGTTTAACACAGTAATATCATTAAGTACTGATTGGGTTCTCCTGATCTTTCTGCAGGCTGTGTATAAGTGTCTGATGGACAGAGTCCCGGAGGAGCAGAAGGAGTCCAATACACAGTGAGTAGCTCCAACACCTAACTGTCTGTCCTCTCTGTTCATGCGTATCTATTCTCCTGACAATCAGCTTCCCCCTCTGTATCTGGTGGTTAATAGTATGTATTCTCTGTAACCCCAGGGTGTTGATGGTGCTGGGGGCTGGGAGAGGTCCTTTGGTCAACGCCTCCCTGCGGGCTGCCAAGCAGGCTGACAGAAAGCTCCGTATCTACGCCGTGGAGAAAAACCCCAACGCTGTCGTCACGTGAGTGGAACCTTTTCTCATTTTGAACCCTGACCTCTAATAGAGTTGCCATCACGGACCAAACTCATTCCAGGAGATTATTAAAGTCCTCTAACATTTTTTAAAATGTATTATTTAAATTCAGGCATTAGAAGTAATTTCCTCGGATAGCTTTAATACTCTCTCGCAGGTAAATAAATCCAGATGAAAATGGGAGGTTGGCAACGTTAATCTCCACTGAGCTCCTAAAAATTCCCTCCACCCTCCTGTACTGATCCTGTCACTCTCTCCCAGGCTTGAGAACTGGAAGTTTGAGGAGTGGGGTGATCAGGTGACCGTAGTGTCATGTGACATGAGGGAGTGGGCGGCACCTGAGAAGGCAGACATCATCGTCAGCGAGCTGCTCGGGTCCTTCGGGGACAACGAGCTGTCCCCAGAGTGTTTAGATGGAGCACAGAACTTCCTCAAAGGTAGGGGGGGGAAGTCACTCTTAATTCCAGTCATTTGCAACTTGTTGATATTGAAATTTTGCACATCACTGATTGATTGAAATCTTTATTATGTGCTAGAGCTATACATGGTAACGTTCCTTCAATGCCCATTTATTTTGCCTCAAGCACCTCTACCCTTTCTCATGTTAAACGTGTTCCCGTTCTCTTGTTCCTCTCTCTCAGATGGTGGGGTGAGCATCCCCTGTTCCTACACCTCCTTCCTGGCCCCCATCTCTTCCTCCAAGCTGTATAACGAGGTCCGGGGGTGCAGGGAGCGGGACAAAGATCCCGAGTGCCACTTTGAGACCCCCTATGTAGTCAGGCTCCACAACTTCCACCAGCTGGCTGAGCCCAAGGCCTGCTTCACCTTCATTCACCCTACCACAGGTAACACAAACCCATATATGGCTAATGCTTACACACCAACACTCACACACCCTAGCTAACACAGGTAATGATCACACATAAGATATGTAATAAATGCACTTATCTCTCCTTTCCTTCAGATATGAACAACAACCGGTATCAGTGCCTCAGATTCTCTGTGGGGTGTAACACAGTGCTGCACGGCTTTGCTGGATACTTCGAGACCACACTCTACGGAGATGTCACACTCAGTAAGTAGTAAGAGTGGGGATGATGATGATGATGATGGTGAGGTTTTAAGATGTTGGATATCATTAACATCAATGTGTGCGTCTGTTTGGTCAAGGTATCAAGCCAGAGACCCACTCTCCTGGAATGTTCTCCTGGTTCCCCATCCTCTTCCCTCTCAAAGTAAGTTGACTGTCATACGTTCATGTAAAATGTATACTTTACATTTAGCACATTTTATTACCCAGAAGAATGTAGTGTACAGTGGGGGGAAAAAGTATTTAGTCAGCCACCAATTGTGCAAGTTCTCCCACTTAAAAAGATGAGAGAGGCCTGTAATTTTCATCATAGGTACACGTCAACTATGACAGACAAATTGAGGGAAAGAAATCCAGAAAATCACATTGTAGGATTTTTAATGAATTTATTTGCAAATTATGGTGGAAAATAAGTATTTGGTCACCTACAAACAAGCAATATTTCTGGCTCTCACAGGCCTGTAACTTCTTCTTTAAGAGGCTCCTCTGTCCTCCACTCGTTACCTGTATTAATGGCACCTGTTTGAACTTGTTATCAGTATAAAAGACACCTGTCCACAACCTCAAACAGTCACACTCCAAACTCCACTATGGCCAAGACCAAAGAGCTGTCAAAGGACACCAGAAACAAAATTGTAGACCTGCACCAGGCTGGGAAGACTGAATCTGCAATAGGTAAGCAGCTTGGTTTGAAGAAATCAACTGTGGGAGCAATTATTAGGAAATGGAAGACATACAAGACCACTGATAATCTCCCTCGATCTGGGGCTCCACACAAGATCTCACCCCGTGGGGTCAAAATGATCACAAGAACGGTGAGCAAAAATCCCAGAACCACACGGGGGGACCTAGTGAATGACCTGCAGAGAGCTGGGACCAAAGTAACAAAGCCTACCATCAGTAACACACTACGCCGCCAGGGACTCAAATCCTGCAGTGCAGACGTGTCCCACTGCTTAAGCCAGTACATGTCCAGGCCCGTCTGAAGTTTGCTAGAGTGCATTTGGATGATCCAGAAGAGGATTGGGAGAATGTCATATGGTCAGATGAAACTAAAATATAACTTTTTGGTAAAAACTCAACTCGTCGTGTTTGGAGGACAAAGAATGCTGAGTTTCATCCAAAGAACACCATACCTACTGTGACGCATGGGGGTGGAAACATCATGCTTTTGGGCTGTTTTTCTGCAAAGGGACCAGGACGACTGATCCGTGTAAAGGAAAGAATGAATGGGGCCAGGTATTGTGAGATTTTGAGAGAAAACCTCCTTCCATCAGCAAGGGCATTGAAGATGAAACGTGGCTGGGTCTTTCAGCATGACAATGATCCCAAACACACCGCCCGGGCAACGAAGGAGTGGCTTCGTAAGAAGCATTTCAAGGTCCTGGAGTGGCCTAGCCAGTCTCCAGATCTCAACCCCATAGAACATCTTTGGAGGGAGTTGAAAGTCCATGTTGCCCAGCGACAGCCCCAAAACATCACTTCTCTAGAGGAGATCTGCATGGAGGAATGGGCCAAAATACCAGCAACAGTGTGTGAAAACCTTGTGAAGACTTACAGAAAACGTTTGACCTGTGTCATTGCCAACAAAGGGTATACAACAAAGTATTGAGAAACTTTTGTTATTGACCAAATACTTAATTTTCCACCATAATAAACAAATAAATTCATTAAAAATCCGACAATGTTATTTTCTGAAAAAAATAATCTCATTTTGTCTGTCATAGTTGACGTGTACCTATGATGAAAATTACAGGCCTCTCTCATCTTTTTAAGTGGGAGAACTTGCACAATTGGTGGCTGACTAAATACTTTTTTTCCCCACTGTATTTACCCTTTTCCTCCCCTCTCCCACCTGCAGCAACCGATCCCCGTAACGAAGGATGATGATGTCGTGGTGAGGTTCTGGAGGTGTAACAATGGGAAGAAGGTGTGGTACGAATGGGCCGTGACAGAGCCCTCATGCTCCGCTATCCACAACCCAGCAGGACGATCCTACACCATTGGCCTTTGAAGACCTCACACTCGCATACATGCATACTAACATACACACACACATGCATACAGACACAATAAAACAGGCACTTAGTTGCAAATGAAGTTGAGGTAGTCTTGCTCACAAAAGATCTAGCATTTTACCAATTCGCCTGTAATCACGAGCCTGCTCATACCATGAAACCTACAGACCAGGGTCACAGTGAGGCTTTAGAGCTGGGAATGAGAACCCAATCAATGGTTTAGATGGGACTGATTTGATACTTATTTTACAGTATAGGTAAAGGAGTCAGTTTCAGGAATGGACTATCATCCACATACATACATCCACATACCTATTGAGTTGAAGTTACTTATTTAGCCAGCAGTCAAGAGACCCTCAATGGCAGCGTTGACTTTTTTTCACTAATTGTTCTTTTGACCAATCAGATCTATGAAAAATATCTGATGTAATTGGTCAAAAGACCTATTCCATACTATAAGCAGATGAAATGGCTCTAAATTGTAACTCAACACACTCTTACCCGGTTACAACTCCGATACAGCAGTGTGTAGGAGACGGGCTGTTCAGGTCGTACATTTTTCAGCTGTTCATTTCTTTGTTTTCTTACTGTTTTTGTCTGAACCATATTGTCAATAAAGACAACTACTAGCTACTTGCTGCTCTCTGCGCTGTTTGTGTATGTGCCTCTTGCATCTACTTATTTAGCATGTCCCCTCATGGGTTAAATGGCAGGCTGTGTTAAGGTCATTATTCCACTTAATTATTTCGAATTCAATCTATGCATATATCAAAAGCTATTTGGAATGGCAAACTTAAATGCAAGCTTGTACCCAAAGAAAAATAATTGTATATAAAATATGTATTCCTTTTTGTGTCTGATCAACAGACTGCACCCTGGTTTTAATGTCTGACTGCACAATTGCATGTACTGCTGTGATTTATTGTGTCCAGTAGGTGTCACCATAGGATCTCATATTGGCATTAAATGTATTTGCATTAGAGGCAAACCTATCAAAAGAACACCCAATATGTAGGTAGCTAAACCACACATGCTGTCATTTAGGGATCAGGTCCAAGAGAAATGGAGAAGGAACACTGAGCTATACCAACAGAGAGGAAAGTTTATCACAGACAGATTCTTGGAATTTGTGGTAAACACCTCAAGTTTCCTTCAGGAAAAGAAGACTCCTCTTAAACTGGTCTCCACTTCAACAAGGTAGGAGTGTTATTGCTGCAGTGCAGACTTCCGGGGAATACTTTCACCCACTCCCACAACATGGCACCAAGAATACCTGGGTTCAAATACTATTTCAATTACTTTGACATACATTTCGAAGCAAATATTCAAATATTTTTTATTGGAAATTACAAGTACTTGGAAAGTATTGGTATGTATTTGAAAATATAAAAATGCAAGGGATATTTTCAAATACAAATAAATACTCCCATGCAGTTGAACCCATGTCCTAGGAGTATTTGTAATAATGTATTTGGAAATAAGTATTTGCAAATATTTTTCAAATAGTAGGCTATTTATTGGAAATTGTTTGAAAATACACAGAAAATAAGCATTTAAGTAAATAATTAAATACATGTATTTCAACCCAGCTCTGGCACCAAGTGACCTTTCTTGACCAGAACACTTAGGCCCTCTCATATTCCTGTAAATAGTGTCTGCTCTAGATCTAGCTACCCTGCTATTTTAGGGTGGGACAAACACTATAATGCAAAACAAGTACATAAATATTCTCAAATGTTGGCCTTAATCCACATCACAAACCAAACTGCTAACTAACTACAATGGATGTTTTCATTCTCTCAAAACACTGAGTGTGTTGCTGTCTGTCCCATGCTATTTTACCATGAGAACACCAGCAGCAACGCTATCTCACTCACTCACTGGCTGCTGTCTTATCAACAAGCCCCATGCAGAGTGTACGGTGTGTGTACGTAATGTGTGCACACATGATAACTGTCATTATGGCAGTAGGTGACACAAGTATAAGATGATTTTTCCCCAATGAAACACTAATTCACTGAGGTATAGCTTGGAATTTGACCAACTCAAAATCAGTGTTTATGTCTGTCTGTCCGTCTGTGTGACCCTAATAAGGTGTTTTGCCAGAGTTCTTGTGATGACTGAGTGGCTCATGTTAAGAGAAAACAAATAGCTATCTGTAAACACAGGTGTGAAGGAGTGCAAGTTGAGTAACATCTTGTAGCCTCCACCCCGAAGACATGGTTGACCCCATGTGGTCTGTTTTAGAGGAACTGGTTTTGTCTCTCAGATCAGTCTAGTTTCCAGACAACTCACAGATAACACTGAAATCAGAGTGTTAATAATAATATAATATGCCATTTAGCAGACGCTTTTATCCAAAGCGACTTACAGTCATGTGCGCATACATTTTTACGTATGGGTGGTCCCGGGGATCAAACCCACTACCCTGGCGTTACAAGCGCCATGCTCTACCAATTGAGCTACAGAGGACCACCAATGCTATATATAATATGATGGCTACTCACTCCCTTCCTATTTCATGTATTTGAATACTTTCTATCATTCTACTTCCTCTTGACCTTTCACAAACTAATTCAAACTAACATTCTTAAATTGAATTTGAGTTTACCAAAGCATTATGACAGTCAAATAATAAATTACCAACCCTGCTGAAACGTGGTGAGGGGAGGGGCTTACCCTGTATTCACTATTTAGGCCATGTTGCTTGGTTGAGCATTTCAAGCAAATGGTGTTACATTTTCCAGTAAGGCAGAGATGTTGTTCACTTGCTGATGTAGGGTGTGCTGACAACAGGATGCTGGTGATTCTTCATTTGAAAAGTCAAGGCAACTACTGAGAAAGAGGTGGGTCGATCATTCTGTCCATTGCTTGAATTTGAGTCTGTAAAACAGTGTCAAGGTTTACAATGGCATAGGCTATATTGTATCCATCCAAGCTGAATCGCACTCATCACTAGGCTACAGGGGCACAACTTTAACTGGGGATGGGGGTATTCTGAAATTTCATTTTTGTCCCCCCCCCCCCCCATTTTTATCATTGGAATGTGATACAAAACGAGGCAAAGATCTGAGATCCCCAGAGATTGGAAAGCTGCCGCGGTCATCCCCCTCTTCAAAGGGGGTGACACTCTAGATCCAAACTGCTACAGACCTATATCCATCCTGCCCTGCCTTTCGAAAGTATTTGAAAGCCAAGTTAACAAACAGATCACCGACCATTTCGAATACCACCGTACCTTCTCCGCTATGCAATCCGGTTTCCGAGCTGGTCATGGGTGCACTTCAGCCACGCTCAAGGTCCTAAATGATATTATAACCGCGATTGATAATAGACAGTACTGTGCAGCCGTCTTCATCGACCTGGCCAAGGCTTTCGACTCTGTCAACCACCGCATTCTTATTGGCAGACTAAATAGCCTTGGTTTCTCAAATGACTGCCTCGCCTGGTTCACCAACTACTTCTCAGATAGAGTTCAGTGTGTCAAATCGGAGGGCCTGTTGTCTGGACCTATGGCAGTCTCTATGGGGGTGCCACAGGGTTCAATTCTTGGGCCGACACTTTTCTCCGTGTATATCAATGATGTCGCTCTTGCTGCTGGTGACTCTCAGATCCACCTCTACGCAGACGACACCATTTTGTATACATCTGGCCCTTCATTGGACACTGTGTTAACAAACCTCCAAACGAGCTTCAATGCCCTACAACACTCCTTCAGTAGCCTCCAACTGCTCTTAAACACTAGTAAAACTAAATGCATGCTTTTCAATCGAACGCTGCTGGCACCCGCCCACCCGACTAGAATCACCACTCTTGACGGGTCTGACCTAGAGTATGTGGACAACTACAAATACCTAGGTGTCTGGTTAGACTGTAAACTCTCCTTCCAGACTCACATAAAGAATCTCCAATCCAAAGTTAAATCTAGAATCGGCTTCCTATTTCGCAACAAAGCCTCCTTCACTCATGCTGCCAAACATGCCCTCGTAAAACTGACTATCCTACCGATCCTTGACTTCGGCGATGTCATTTACAAAATAGCCTCCAACACTCTACTCAGCAAATTGGATGTAGTCTATCACAGTGCCATCCGTTTTGTCTCCAAAGCCCCATACGCTACCCACCACTGTGACCTGTACGCTCTTGTTGGCTGGTCCTCACTACATGTTCGTCGTCAAACCCACTGGCTCCAGGCCATCTATAAATCACTGCTAGGCAAATCCCCGCCTTATCTTAGCTCATTGGTCACCATAGCAGCACCCACCCGTAGTCTGCGCTCCAGCAGGTATATCTCACTGGTCATTCCCAAAGCCAACACCTCCTTTGGCCGCCATTCCTTCCAGTTCTCTGCTGCCAATGACTGGAACGAATTGCAAAAATCTCTGAAGCTGGAGACTCTTATCTCCCTCACTAACTTTAAGCATCAGTTGTCAGAGCACCTTACCGATCACTGCACCTGTATACAGCCCATCTGAAATTAGCCCACCCAACTACCTCATCCCTATATTGTTATTTATTTTGCTCTTTTGCACCCCAGTATCTCTATTTGCACATAATCTCTTGCACATCTAGCATTCCAGTGTTAATACTATTGTAATTATTTTGCACTATAGCCTATTTATTGCCTTACCTCCATAACTTGCTACATTTGCACACACTGTATATATATTTTCTGTTGTATTTTTGACTTTATGTTTTTTACCCCATATGTAACTCTGTGTTGTTTTTATCGCACTGCTTTGCTTTATCTTGGCCAGGTCGCAGTTGTAAATGAGAACTTGTTCTCAACTGGCTTACCTGGTTAAATAAAGGTGAAATAAAATAAAAATATATAATAAAAAATAAAAAGGTGTGCTTTAGGACCATGCGGACGCCTCCGAGCGGTCGGGGTAGGCTGTTTGGAGTGTTTGTCCTACTGGATAAAAAATAAAATAATAAAAAGTTATGTCCCCCCCACTTCTAAAACCAAAGTTCCGCCCCTGCTAGGCTATATCATGCATTCATTTTTTTTGACATAACTTTCGGGGCAAATGAAAATAACAAGTATTGTTATAGGCAACAGGAATTTTATTAATCTGTCACACAGTATGCGTTTTTGGAAATATGTCGTTTACTGATATAGCCTACTGTAAATTGCTTGCCATTGCCAGTTTGCCGTTGTTATTTCAATGTGCTCGACCAGCAGGTGTGTATAGTAGGCCTACAAGATTATCTTCAGTGGCCTACTTCCTCTACAAAGCCTATTACTACTAGTTGGTGATTTTGCGCCTCCTTTACGCAGGTGGGGCTGGCTGGTCGCAGCGCTCCTTTGAATTATTTATGAAGCGATGTAGTTGTTTCTAATAATAGCAGTAATCTCAGTGTAGCCCGCACACTATTCGACTGGCAGGGAAACGCTACTGGGCGGGATATTGCACGCTTCATCAGTCTGAGCGCTTACATTTTTGTATTAGTTGACTAGAGAAAATTCTGACACGCACACAATTACTCTTTGGAAATGTGTGTTTAGCCTAGTCCAGGAGCCCACCCCGGATCACATTCTTTGTGCCACGGGCTATGTTTCTTTTTTTTACGGCATCGAAGATAACTTTGACACTAATAGTTTTGCTGTGATTAACTATTTTTGTTCTCCGTTAGTAAAGGTAACACCAAACTGAGCTAGGTTGCACTGCACCTGCGCTTTTCATCCAACAAAAGTAATCTTGGAGACGAGATGACCGACGGTCCTAGGCAGCGGGGCAATGCATCCGCAGATGGGGATACGCCCTCCTCCGAATCCACTAAAGAAGCCTCGGGAAGAGTGACGCTGAAGAAGGAGATTGGCCTTGTCAGCGCATGTGGAATTATTGTGGGTAAGTCATTATTATGTTCATGCTATGTATAATGTCTTCCTCAATGTAGGTATGGGTGTGTCCACCTAAAATCCAACCTGATAGATTGAAATGAAATGTATGGTCCACATGGATTTTTTAGCAGAACCTAGCAGAGTAAATAACCTTTAACAGATTGCACAAACAGTGCTAATTTTGCAGTTGATCTGAACTAGTCTTCAAAAACGTACGTTTTTCAGTCTGTACGTTATTTTTTACTGGCCAGACTACCTCCTTATGAAAGTTTCCTGTGATTGCAAGAAAATCCACATTATGTGCTTGTGTGTGTTGTCTATTTAACTGGTATGTGGATTTGTTCAAAAATGGCTGTCACGGAGCAGCATCCATCCCACCCACATGCAGAGGAAGTCAATAAAAAGTAATCTCAATAATGCTTGGCCTGTGCACCAGCTGCACTTAAAATCATCAGCATAGTGGCCCGGGCCGCACCATTCACAATAAGCATGCTGCAAATCTCTTGCAACAAGACAAGATAATAACCTCACTCAGTTCTATAAGATAGTCTAGACCAGAGTCCGGTTGCATAAAACACCTTAAATTAATTTCCCCCTTTATCTTTTCCCTTAATTTTTCCTTAACTTTAAATCGGCTGCACAAAATTTAAGGTGAATTCCCCCCTTAATTAAGTGAAAGTTAAGGGTGCCCATAATATCTCTTAACTGCTTCATTCAGATATCAATGTAAATAGTTAATTATTGGGCTGCGGTAATGTTTTTTTAAAAATAGCCTTTTTGTTTTTACTAGAATACATGCATTTTCTGAACACCCCACAATACTGAACACCCAGTACATATTAAACCTTCAAGAAAACATATTTTCCCACCTCAGGCATTAAAGCCCTTTATTATTGTCAATTTTTGTCTGACATGGACACCATTTATCTTCAACCTCGTTAGACAATATGGATGTTTATAAAAGATACTTGTTATAAAATCAACATTTACCAAATGCTCATGTGTCCTCCAAACCAATTCAATTATTATAAATATAAAATGTATGTAAATCTCAAATTTGCTATATTAAACCCTGAAATAGACACATTGTGTCAGCGGGCTCATTTAAATAAAAAAATGCTTTTAATTCAGAATTTTAACAAATCTAATCTTCTTGGGATTGTCCTTAACATTTCAGACTGAGCTCAGAAAAAATATTTATTCATTTTTGCCATTTTATTTAACAAATATTGTCATGTGGAGACTCATGGGCGGTGCACAATTGGCCCAGCGTCGTCCAGGGTAGGGGAGGGAATGGCCGGCAGGGATGTAGCTCAGTTGATAGAGCATGGCGTTTGCAACGCCAGGGTTGTGGGTTCGATTCCCACGGGGGGCCAGTATAAAAAATAAAATATATATGTATTCACTAACTGTAAGTCGCTCTGGATAAGAGCGTCTGCTAAATGACGTAAATGTAATGTGATGGTGTTGAGACTAGGGTTACAGGGTTGAAGAGACACATCGGTTTCCATATAAATTAGTTTAGTATACTATCAAAATCCCTCCAAGACTTAACCCCAAAACATTGCATGCAACCATGTAATAAGGACATTTAGATATATTTAGAATTATCACATTTCAGGAGAAGATGCAGACAGTGTCGAAGTAACAAACGTTTATTACAAAAACAGGGGGCAGGCAAACAACAGGTCAAGGGCAGGCAGAGGTCAGTAATCCAGATCAGAGTCCAAAAGGTAGGCAGGCAGGCTCAGAGCAGGCAGAATGGTCAAAACTGGGAAAACTAGAAAACAGGTACTTGAGAAAGACAGGCGCAAGGAGAAAACCGCTGGTAGGTTTGACGAAACAAAACATACTGGCAACAGACAAACAGAGAACACAGATATAAATACACTGGGGAAGATGGGTGACACCTGGAGGGGGGTGGAGACAATCACAAAGACAGGTGAAACAGATCACGGTGACAAGAATAATCTGGGTTTTATTAACCAAACTGCAGTAAATATCGAAACAAATAAAAACACATCAGGCATTAGGGTAATAAATAACGTTTAACAGATTTCATCAGAAAAGTTCAATGTGTCATCAAACTGTAGGAACATTTTCCAAGGGCATTTAGAATACTAGAACAGCTGTAACTACAGCACTAGTGTCAGCATGACTATCATCTTCTCAGGAGCACCATATTCATTCATTCATGGTTTTCTTCCTGAGAGTCTGGCCCACACATCTCTCTCAACCTCAACGTGGCAGGATGTCACACGCTGTGGGGGTGGAATCATCTCAAGGACTTCATCAAACTGATACCAGTGGATGTCGTCTCGAAGGCCAGAAGAATCTGTTTGGTCCTACACGATGCATACATTTAACTTGTACACTAATTCAATCCGTGCCGAGGATGATGCCTGGATAAAGGTCATCATCATATTCCACTACACACCACTGCCCAAGAAGACCTGGATTTCCCCACTGGATTTCGTCCACAGGTTGTGGATTTTTCTCATTGGCTGGCTGTTCTGGAGCAGCCAGGACATTCTGCCTGAAACTGAAGTGCTGTGTGTTAAAGCATATACAGTTTAGGTCCCTCTTTGTTGAACAAAGGCAGCTGACATCAGCTCACCAGGAGCAAGGGTGATGACCTGGTGTATTCTCAAGGTGGAGGGCACCGCTTTTATCGGGCTTGGCATCATCTCCATCGCACGTTCAACATCGCCACTCTTTACAAAGAACAGCTTCACTGACGTGTTTGTCTCATGGAGGGCTTTGTAAAGCTCCTGTGCATCACTGAAATCACGGCCCTTAGCCACCAACCTGTCCGCCGTTCTCTTCAACGTTTCTCCCACACCATCAGGAGCCCCTTTTCCATGGCTTGACTCAAATCCTGGCTGTGGGATTGCTCTGGAACATGATCTGGACTTTGTGGAGGAGTGGTCAAGTTCTTCAGTGCTCCTTTCCTCTCCTTGCTTCTTTTGTATGCTGTTCTCCATTGTTTACGCTTCTGACGCTGGTCTCTCTCACTTAAATCACTGATCTTTTTATTTTTCCCTGCCTCAACATTTCTTTTCCATCTCTGACACTCTCTCTCAAGGTATTGTTCCCTTTCTTCTGGGTCAGCATTTTGACGTGCTCGACACTGCCTTTGTCTTTCTGCTGCTGATGTGGGTGCCATCATTCCCTAGATGTTTCATTGGATAACATTAAATCAAAGATTCTTAGAATATATACATGTATACACTATAATCCTTGAGTAATTTAGGACCTAGAGCGACTTAAAGGAACAACTGAAATTATGAGCCTTGCTCAACTCTCCTAACAGTAGGCTACCAGCCTTAAAATATATTTTTTGTTCACACGGAACACATTACAACTTGTTTCGTAAGTGAATATAAACAATATAATGTATAATATATTGAATAATTCATTTGTTTAGATGCAATATTCATAAATCATGTAAATAACTCAACCCTGGTCACAGGTTTACAACCCCCTTACAATGAAACATGTGACGGGGTTGAGTTTTTTTTGGTCAAAATGGCCTCTGCTCCTCATGTGGTGAAGAACAGGAGACCACATGGTGTGCATTACATTAATAGATTGTATATTTTTATGGGTTCAAGTATAATTTTATAAGTACTAGTTTTCCATCTTTATTTCATGTAATGGGGTTGAGTTGGTCAGCTCGACGATCCCCACCTGACTTTAAAAAACAACAAAATACAGATATAAAATAATGTGATTACTTGCCTGTTACTGTACCATGCAGTTCAAAATTGTTGAATGATGTCACTTCCTGTTAATGATGGCACATAAGGGTGGACTGACCATTTTTATTGGCGGAGTTTGGTTGGTGTGACGGGGTTGAGGGTAGACAGAGCTAAATTGTGTGATAAAAAAAAAATCAATAATCATGCATTTATTTGATAAATACTTTCTCAACAAAATAACACAAGTTTGCATTAATGGCAAAAGTTATTAATTATGTGCACATTATAATATTAATTTCCCATGTAAAATAAAATAATTTGTTAATTTGACAAATTTGAAATCACACTGGATGTATTAGACTTTAGAATTGCATTGGGGGCATATTTATTTCACTGTACACCCTTACCTATGGATTATGGATAATTTACATGGGATATCAGTCTTCTCAGTGACACCCAGATAACATTAGTGTCGTAGCTCTTATTGCGGGACTCTGAAACCACTGTAAATTGAGCCACATTTATTGTACCAGTCACCCTACTATGTGTATTGAACACAATTCCAGAGGAAAAACAATACAACCTGGATGTTTTGGAGTCTGAACTCTGAGGAGGATGTTGGGGAAAAAAGCTCTTGGTACTGAGTAGACTGACACCCCATTTACAGTGAGGGGAAAAAAGTATTAGATCCCCTGATTTTGTACGTTTGCCCACTGACAAAATAATGATCAGTCTATAATTTTAATGGTAGGTTTATTTGAACAGTGAGAGACAGAATAACAAAAAAAAAATCCAGAAAAACGCATGTAAAAAATGTTATAAATTGATTTGCATTTTAATGAGGGAAATAAGTATTTGAACCCTCTCAATCAGAACGATTTCTGGCTCCCAGGTGTCTTTTATACAGGTAACGTGCTGAGATTAGGAGCACACTCTTAAAGGGAGTGCTCCTAATCTCAGTTTGTTACCTGTATAAAAGACAGCTGTCCACAGAAGCAATCAATCAATCAGATTCCAAACTCTCCACCATGGCCAAGACCAAAGAGCTATCCAAGGATGTCAGGGACAAGATTGTAGACCTACACAAGGCTGGAATGGGCTACAAGACCATCGCCAAGCAGCTTGGTGAGAAGGTGACAACAGTTGGTGCGATTATTCCCAAATGGAAGAAACACAAAATAACTGTCAATCTCCCTCAGCCTGGGGCTCCATGCAAGATCTCACCTCGTGGAGTTGCAATGATCATGAGAACGGTGAGGAATCAGCCCAGAACTACACGGGAGGATCTTGTCAATGATCTCAAGGCAACTGGGACCATCGTCACCAAGAAAACAATTGGTAACACACTACGCCGTGAAGGACTGAAATCCTGCAGCGCCCGCAAGGTCCCCCTGCTCAAGAAAGCACATATACTGGCCCGTCTGAAGATTGCCAATGAACATCTGAATGATTCAGAGGAGAACTGGGTGAAAGTGTTGTGGTCAGATGAGACCAAATTCGAGCTCTTTGGCATCAACTCAACTCGCCGTCTTTGGAGGAGGAGGAATGCTGCTTATGACCCCAAGAACACCATCCCCACCGTCAAACATGGAGGTGGAAACATTATGCTTTGGGGGTGTTTTTCTGCTAAAGGGACAGGACAACTTCACCGCATCAAAGGGACGATGGACGGGGACATGTACCGTCAAATCTTGGGTGAGAACCTCCTTCCCTCAGCCAGGGCATTGAAAATGGGTCGTGGATGGGTATTCCAGCATGACAATGACCCAAAACACACGGCCAAGGCAACAAAGGAGTGGCTCAAGAAGAAGCACATTAAGGTCCTGGAGTGGCCTAGCCAGTTCTCCAGACCTTAATCCCATAGAAAATCTGTGGAGGGAGCTGAAGGTCCGAGTTGCCAAACGTCAGCCTCAACCTTAATGACTTGGAGAAGAGGAGTGGGACAAAATCCCTCCTGAGATGTGTGCAAACCTGGTGGCCAACGTCTGACCTCTGATTGCCACCAAGTACTAAGTCATGTTTTGCAGAGGGGTCAACTACTTATTTCCCTCATTAAAATACAAAAATACATTTATAACATTTTTGACATGTGTTTTTCTGGATTTGTTTTGTTATTATTCTGTCTCTCACTGTTCAAATAAACCTACCATTAAAATTATAGACTGATCATGTCTTTGTCTGTGGTCAAAAGTACAAAATCAGCAGGGGATCAAATACTTTTATTTTGAAGGCAAACCGTGAATTCCACTATTGTGGCTAATCCTTATTGTAGCTATTTTCACAACACATAACCCGGTCTGGTCAAGCCTCACCAGCCAGATGAAGTTTACTGGCTGCTTATAACGTTAGCTTTGGGCAACCGGGTTAAGTAGCTGGCTAGCTAGTTATTTTCATGACCTGAAGTTCAAGTGGCTACCTAGCTAATACTTACTCACATGGATTCCTAAATCATTGCTAAGAATATTGAAAATGACTGCAGTTTCTATTGGTAATTTGTTTCAGGCTAATTTTAGTTGCATTGGTGCTAGCTAGGTAACATTACCAAGGTAAAGCTAGCTAGTTACCCCAGAAGTTGCTAATAACATCTATAAAATATTAATATCTATCAGTGGGGAGAACAAGTATTTGATACACTGCCGATTTTGCAGGTTTTCCTACTTACAAAGCATGTAGAGGTCTGTAATTTTTATCATAGGTACACTTCAACTGTGAGAGACGGAATCTAAAACAAAAATCCAGAAAATCACATTTGTATGATTTTTAAGTAATTAATTTGCATTTTATTGCATGACATAAGTATTTGATCACCTACCAACCAGTAAGAATTCCGGCTCTCACAGACCTGTTAGTTTTTCTTTAAGAAGCCCTCCTGTTCTCCACTCATTACCTGTATTAACTGCACCTGTTTGAACTCGTTACCTGTATAAAAGACACCTGTCCACACACTCAATCAAACAGACTCCAACCTCTCCACAATGGCCAAGACCAGAGAGCTGTGTAAGGACATCAGGGATAAAATTGTAGAACTACACAAGGCTGGGATGGGCTACAGGACAATAGGCAAGCAGCTTGGTGAGAAGGCAAAAACTGTTGGCGCAATTATTAGAAAATGGAAGAAGTTCAAGATGACGGTCAATCACCCTCGGTCTGGGGCTCCATGCAAGATCTCACCTCGTGGGGCATCAATGATCATGAGGAAGGTGAGGGATCAGCCCAGAACTACACGGCAGGACCTGGTCAATGACCTGAAGAGAGCTGGGACCACATTCTCAAAGAAAACCATTAGTAACACACTACGCCGTCATGGATTAAAATCCTGCAGCGCACGCAAGGTCCCCCTGCTCAAGCCAGCGCATGTCCAGGCCTGTCTGAAGTTTGCCAATGACCATCTGGATGATCCAGAGGAGGAATGGGAGAAGGTCATGTGGTCTGATGAGACAAAAATAGAGCTTTTTGGTCTAAACTCCACTCGCCGTGTTTGGAGGAAGAAGAAGGATGACAACCCCAAGAACACCATCCCAACCGTGAAGCATGGAGGTGGGAACATCATTCTTTGGGGATGCTTTTCTGCAAAGGGCACAGGACGACTGCACCGTATTGAGGGGAGGATAAATGGGGCCATGTATCGCGAGATCTTGGCCAACAACCTCCTTCCCTCAGTAAGAGCATTGAAGATGGGTTGTGGCTGGGTCTTCCAGCATGACAACGACCCGAAACACACAGCCAGGGCAACTAAGGAGTGGCACCGTAAGAAGCATCTCAAGGTCCTGGAGTGGCCTAGCCAGTCTCCAGACCTGAACCCAATAGAACATCTTTGGAGGGAGCTGAAAGTCTGTATTGCCCAGCGACAGCCCCGACACCTGAAGGACCTGGAGAAGGTCTGTATGGAGGAGTGGGCCAAAATCCCTGCTGCAGTGTGTGCAAACCTGGTCAAGACCTACAGGAAACATATGATCTCTGTAATTGCAAACATAGGTTTCTGTGCCAAATATTAAGTTCTGCTTTTCTGATGTATCAAATACTTATGTCATGCAATAAAATGCAAATTAATTACTTAAAAAATCATACAATGTGATTTTCTGGATTTTTGTTTTAGATTCAGTCTCTCACAGTTGAAGTGTACCTATGATAAAAAATTACAGACCTCTACATGCTTTGTAAGTAGGAAAACATGCAAAATCGGCAGTGTATCAAAAACTTGTTCTCCCCACTGTATATACAGTATCTCACAAAAGTGAGTACACCCCTCACATTTTTGTAAATATTTGAGTATATCTTTTCATGTGACAACTTTGCTACAATGTAAAGTAGTGAGTGTACAGCTTGTATAACAGTGTAAATTTGCTGTCCCCTCAAAATAAATCAACACACAGCCAAAAACCGCTGGCAACAAAAGTGACAGCATGGGAAAATCAAAAGAAATCAGCCAAGACCTCAGACATTTTTTTTTAGACCTCCACAAGTCTGGTTCCTCCTTGGGAGCAATTTCCAAACGCCAGAAGGTACCACGTTCATCTGTACAAACAATAGTACGCAAGTATAAACACCATGGGACCACGCAGCCATCATACCGCTCAGGAAGGAGACGTGTCCCCTAGAGATTAACGTACTTTGGTGCGAAAAATGCAAATCAATCCCAGAACAACAGCAAAGGTCCTTGTGAAGATGCTGGAGGAAACAGGTACAAAAGTATCTTATCCCCGTAAACAGTGAAGGCCGCAGCAGGGAAGCACGTCCAAAACGCATAAAAAGCAACTATGCAACTGAATGGGCAAAGATCGTACTTTTTGAAGACATTAAACAAAAATTAACTGTTTGCCATATGACCATCGTTATGTTTGGAGGAAAAAGGGGGCTGCTTGCAAGCCGAAGAACACCATCCCAACCGTGAAGAACGGGGGTGGCAGCATCATGCTGTGGGGGTGTTTTGCTGCAGGAGGGACTGGTGCACTTCACAAAATAGATGGCATCATGAGGAAAGAAAAGTTATGTGGATATATTGAAGCAACATGTCAAGACATCAGTCAGGAAGTTAAAGCTTGGTCGCAAATGGGTCTTACAAATGGACAATGACCCCAAGCATACTTCCAAAGTTGTGGCAAAATGGCTTAAGGACAACAAAGTCAAGGTATTGGAGTGGCCATCACAAAGCCCTGACCTCAATCCTATAGAAAATGTGTGTGCAGAACTGAAAAAGCGTGTGCGAGCAAAGAGGTCTACAGACCTGACTCAGTTAAACCAACTCTGTCAGAAGGATTGGGCCAAAATTCACCCAACTTATTGTGGGAAGCTTGTGGAAGGCTACCCGACACGTTTGACCCAAGTTAAACAATTTAAAGGCAATGCTACCAAATACTAATTGAGTGTATGTAAACTTCTGACCCACTGGGAATGTGATTTTAAAAAATCCTTTATTACTTTCCAACCCAACCACCCCTCCCCTAATTTGAGTAAACTAGTGAACAACAAGGCTTAGGCTTTTACTTCCAGCTTATACATACTATATACATTTTATGGGCACAGTCAATTTTTCAGACTTAGGTATGATGCTTCAAGCTTGGCACACCTGTATTTGGGGAATTTCTCCCATTCTTCTCTGCAGATCCTCTCAAGCTCTGTCAGGTTGGATGGGGAGCGTCACTGCACAGCTATTTTCAGGTCTCTCCAGAGATGTTCGATCAGGTTCAAGTCCGGGCTCTGGCTGGGCCACTCAAGGACATTCAGAGACTTATCCCGAAGCCACTCCTGCATTGTCTTGGCTGTGTGCTTAGGGTCGTTGTCCTGTTGGAAGGTGAACCTTCGCCCCAGTCTGAGGTCCTGAGCGCTCTGGAGCAGGTTTTCATCAGGAATCTCTCTGTACTTTGCTCCGTTCATCTTTCCCTCGATCCTGACTAGTCTCCCAGTCCCTGCCGCTGAAAAACATCCCCACAGCATGATGCTGCCACCACCATGCTTCACCGTAGGAATGGTGCCAGGTTTCCTCCCGACATGATGCTTGGCATTCAAGCCAAAGAGTTCAATCTTGGTTTCATCAGACCAGAGAATCTTGTTTCTCATGGTCAGAATCCTTTAGGTGCCTTTTGGCAAACTCCAAGCAGGCTGACATGTGCCTTTTACTGAGGAGTGGCTTCCGTCTGGCCACTCTACCATAAAGGCCTGATTGGTGGAGTGCTGCAGAGATGGTTGTCCTTCTGGAAGGTTCTACCATCTCCACAGAGGAACTCTAGACCTCTGTCAGAGTGACCATCATCGGGTTCTTCGTCACCTCCCTGACCAAGGCCCTTCTTCCCCGATTGCTCAGTTTGGCTGGGCGGCCAACTCTAGGAAGAGTCTTGGTGGTTCCAAACTTATCCCATTTAAGAATGATGGAGGCCACTGTGTTCTTGGGGACCTTCAATGCTGTTTGGTACCCTTCCTCAGTTCTGTGCCTCGACACAATCCTGTCTCGGAGCTCTACAGACAATTCCTTCGAGCTCATGGCTTGGTTTTTGCTCTTACCTGCACTGTCAACTGTGGGACTTTTTATATAGACAGGTGTGTACCTTTCCAAATCATGTCCAATCAGTTGAATTTACCACAGATGGACGCCAAGTTGTAGAAACATCTCAAGGATGCTCATTGGAAACGGGATGCACTGGAGTTAAATTTTGAGTCTCATAGCAAAGGGTCTGAATACTTATGTAAATAAGGTATTTCTGGTTTTTATTTTTAATACATTTGCAAACATTTCTAAAAACCTGTTTTCGCTTTGTCATTAAGGGGTATTGTGTGTAGATTGAGGAAAAAAATGAATGTAATCCATTTTAGAATAAGGCTAACGTAACAAAATGTGGAGAAAGTCAAGGGGTCTGAATGCACTGTACTTGCTTATTTTGTCACAAACTAATATTAGGCGAACTATTCAAATTTCTGCAACCTGGAAATGGAGGCGCGATTTCTGCATAGTAGTGCATCTTTAAAGGTGTACTATGCAGAAATTGCGCACATAGAACAGACCTACTGCTTCTTAGACTTGCTTTCAACGAGTGACATATCTATAACTCATATTTCTATGTGAATTTGGTAGGGTCACCCAAAAACGTGCATATTGCAGCTTTAAGGTAAACCCTTAAAGGGTATGTAGCATAAACGTAACCACATGTAACATGGATTTGCATTAGAATACGCATCAAACGTCCCAATGCAAAGTTACACCTCACCTTTTACATTTTTGGAGTTATTAAATAAAACTGATCAGCATTCCAAAGAATGCCGAAGTCATGCCGGAAAAAAACATTTGTGGGGTGACTTAATATGGAGGATGCGGCAAGGCAGCCTATTCTCTATAATGTAAACTCCAACAGTAATAACATAACTAAAAATTAAACCAAATAAATTTCACTCATGACTATTGGTTTCAATTTAATTTTCAGCCAACTTACAAGCAAATACTTTAGGATTTTTTTGTTACAAATTTGCTAGCCAACTAGCCTGCTAATGTTAGCCCTACAAGCTGCTAACGTTACGTTAGCACTGCGTGAGTCAGCCAGATACTATCAGAACCTAGCTTCCAGCTACATTAAAGTAAACCAACGTTATCAAGTACAGTGGTGGAAAAAAAGTATTTAGTCAGCCACCAATTTAGCAAGTTCTCCCACTTAAAAAGATGAGAGAGGCCTGTAATTTCATCATAGGTACACGTCAACTATGACAGACAAATTTAGATTTTTTTTCTCCAGAAAATCACATTGTAGGATTTTTTATGAATTTATTTGCAAATTATGGTGGAAAATAAGTATTTGGTCACCTACAAACAAGCAAGATTTCTGGCTCTCACAGACCTGTAACTTCTTCTTTAAGAGGCTCCTCTGTCCTCCACTCGTTACCTGTATTAATGGCACCTGTTTGAACTTGTTATCAGTATAAAAGACACCTGTCCACAACCTCAAACAGTCACACTCCAAACTCCACTATGGCCAAGACCAAAGAGCTGTCAAAGGACACCAGAAACAAAATTGTAGTCCTGCACCAGGCTGGGAAGACTGAATCTGCAATAGGTAAGCAGCTTGGTTTGAAGAAATCAACTGTGGGAGCAATTATTAGGAAATGGAAGACATACAAGACCACTGATAATCTCCCTCGATCTGGGGCTCCACGCAAGATCTCACCCCGTGGGGTCAAAATGATCACAAGAACGGTGAGCAAAAATCCCAGAACCACACGGGGGGACCTAGTGAATGACCTGCAGAGAGCTGGGACCAAAGTAACAAAGCCTACCATCAGTAACACACTACGCCGCCAGGGACTCAAATCCTGCAGTGCCAGACGTGTCCCCCTGCTTAAGCCAGTACATGTCCAGGCCCGGCTGAAGTTTGCTAGAGTGCATTTGGATGATCCAGAAGAGGATTGGGAGAATGTCATATGGTCAGATGAAACCAAAATAGAACTTTTTGGTAAAAACTCAACTCGTCGTGTTTGGAGGACAAAGAATGCTGAGTTGCATCCAAAGAACACCATACCTACTGTGAAGCATGGGGGTGGAAACATCATGCTTTGGGGCTGTTTTTCTGCAAAGGGACCAGGACGACTGATCCGTGTAAAGGAAAGAATGAATGGGGCCATGTATCGTGAGATTTTGAGTGAAAACCTCCTCCCATCAGCAAGGGCATTGAAGATGAAACATGGCTGGGTCTTTCAGCATGACAATGATCCCAAACACACCACCCTGGCAACAAAGGAGTGGCTTCGTAAGAAGCATTTCAAGGTCCTGGAGTGGCCTAGCCAGTCTCCAGATCTCAACCCCATAGAACATCTTTGGAGGGAGTTGAAAGGCCGTGTTGCCCAGCGACAGCCCCAAAACATCACTGCTCTAGAGGAGATCTGCATGGAGGAATGGGCCAAAATACCAGCAACAGTGTGTGAAAACCTTGTGAAGACTTACAGAAAACGTTTGACCTGTGTCATTGCCAACAAAGGGTATATAACAAAGTATTGAGAAACTTTTGTTATTGACCCAGATCGAGGGAGATTATCAGTGGTCTTCCATTTCCTAATAATTGCTCCCACAGTTGATTTCTTCAAACCAAGCTGCTTACCTATTGCAGATTCAGTCTTCCCAGCCTGGTGCAGGTCTACAATTTTGTTTCTGGTGTCCTTTGACAGCTCTTTGGTCTTGGCCATAGTGGAGTTTGGAGTGTGACTGTTTGAGGTTGTGGACAGGTGTCTTTTATACTGATAACAAGTTCAAACAGGTGCCATTAATACAGGTAACGAGTGGAGGACAGAGGAGCCTCTTAAAGAAGTTACAGGTCTGTGAGAGCCAGAAATCTTGCTTGTTTGTAGGTGACCAAATACTTATTTTCCACCATAATTTGCAAATAAAATCATTAAAAATCCTACAATGTGATTTTCTGGATTTTTTTTCCCTCATTTTGTCTGTCATAGTTGACGTGTACCTATGATGAAAATTACAGGCCTCTCTCATCTTTTTAAGTGGGAGAACTTGCACAATTGGTGGCAGACTAAATACTTTTTTCCCCCACTGTAGTGTTACCGGTATATCCAGTTATCTTATCCAGCCAGCTAAAGTTAGTTATTTTAACCTGCTAGCTACCCTAACCAGCTAATTAGCCTAGCTAGCCAACCACCACGGTCTACATAGCTAAGAAGTAAGCCAGAGAACAATTAGTCTAGCATAGGCAGGAACCCACAGAACACTACATGACCAAAGTCAAAGAGGAGCTAAGGAGAGGCCTTCAGAGGGAGAGTCAGCTAGCTAATCCAATAGTGATATAGTGAGGTAAATCCACATTGCACCCTTTAAGGAAATACTTAAGATGTTTTATGTAACCGGGCCCAGGGCTCTTCAATCCTGTTCCTGTTGAGCTAGCCTCCTGTAGGCTTTCGCTCCAACCTCCGTTGTTATTAACCTGATTCAGCTTATCAACCAGCTAATATTAGAATCAGGTGCGCTAGATTAGGGTTGACGTGAAAACCTACAGGACGGTATAGCTCTCCAGGAACAGGGTTCGAGAGCCAGACCAGTGCTGAATAGCTGTAGAATCAGATACTTCTAAACAACAACATTTTCTCTGCACATAGAGCTAATCTTTTTAGAATTACTTTTGCAGTCTGAGTCTAACTGGGAGCTTACTTCCTGGGGGGACTTTGTGGTGAAGGGGTAGGTCAGATAAGCCTGGGGGAAAACTTGACGGTCAGCGGTCTGTTCCTGAGCCTGATTACATTCAGCAGTTGGTTGTTTTGCCCTGCTGCCCTGTTTGTGCTACTGTATTATCCCAGACCCCAAAATGATCATCCTGATCTTATGTTTCTGAGTCACAACAAGTAGTCTGAAGATGTTGTTGCTGTGTGTTGAGACTGATGTAAATGAGAAGAGGTAGAGGAAAGTGAGTTATACAGTATGAGAAGGCCCCATGATGTTGTTCTTACTTGGCCACTAAACAGGAAGCTGTGGACTAAGTGACAGGAAACTCTCACTTTCCGTTCCAGTCCGCACTCCACTTGTTTGTCAGCCAAAGAGAACATGTCGGCCCTAGTCAATGTTGTGTAATATTACCCTCCACTTTTGAAAGATTGATGCAGCATTTTCCACTCTCCTCTTTACCCTCCCCGTCTCTTTGTCTGGGTCTCAGGTAACATCATCGGCTCAGGGATCTTTGTGAGCCCAAAGGGCGTTCTGGAGAATGCCAGCTCTGTGGGGCTGGCTCTCATCGTGTGGATTGTCACCGGAGTGATCACAGCCATTGGTGCACTCTGCTATGCCGAGCTGGGCGTTACCATCCCCAAGTCTGGAGGAGACTACTCGTATGTCAAGGACATATTTGGAGGACTTGCCGGGTGAGGGAAAGCAGTACAGTACCATCCTTTTGTCCCCCACCATTTCTTCATGTCATTAACCTAGTTTTGTTAATGTCTGCCCTTTATTGTACACATAATTCACCAGCCCATATTATTGAATAGTCTACTGTCATGCTTGGCATGTCTGCTAATTGGTTCTTTGTGTTCCCACTGTCCTCTAATGAGCACTGGTGTTTATTTTCCTCACATACAGTATCTCAAGCATTCTGACAGGTTTTTGCGCTACATCAGAAATGTAGACATTGATAGCCGTGAGTGAGGTGTTTGATGTGTGACTCTCCGACTCTTCCCCTCCCTACCTACCTCTCCCAGGTTCCTGCGTCTGTGGATCGCGGTGTTGGTGATCTACCCCACCAACCAGGCAGTCATCGCCCTCACCTTCTCCAACTACGTCCTGCAGCCCCTATTCCCCTCCTGCTTCCCCCCAGAGAGTGGCCTCCGCTTCCTGGCTGCTGTCTGTCTATGTGAGAGCCTCAGAGAACATGCATGCCGCCTTACTTAGTTTTTTTGGAGTGCTTTGTTTACTTCAGCCTGATTACTGGCCCTCCTGTCTCTCTTCGCTGAGTTTGCGACTTGAGGTATATTTGTAGGTCTATTTTGTTTTCTTCTGTTCTCACTTACTCACTTACATATTACCCAATCTAGTACAGTGTTACTGTATTCCATGTGTGATATGTTGCTGTATGCTATGATGTGTGATGTGACTATTCCTCCTTTTGTCCCAGTGTTGCTGACGTGGGTGAACTGCTCCAGTGTGCGCTGGGCCACTCGTGTTCAGGATGTCTTCACTACTGGGAAGCTGCTGGCCCTGGGTCTTATCATCATCATGGGCTTTGTGCAGATCTGCAAAGGTAGACTCGGTCTCTCCGATTTTGATTCTGATCTGTAACTGTTGATTTGTTTCATCATTCATTACAAAGTCACAGGGATGGCTACAGGATAGGCCTACTGTACGTAGACTATCGGCAAAGACAGTACAGTATGGAGATAGGCTAAAACTGCTTCTCCAATAGAAATCCTTGATCACACTTGTAGGAGAAGTCATGGCGACTTTGGCTAGCTAAACTCATGCGTAGAAACACGGCATCGGGTCTAACGGTCGTCTCGTGCCGAACTGCCCATGTACAGGCCGTCAAATCAAAGGCACTCCTTCGACAAAGTTGTTTTTCACAAAAATTAAAACGTGTCGTTCCCGGAAGTCTTGCAATGTTGCGCCTCGGGGTTTACAAACTCTGCTATCGGTCCCACTGACACATACTTTACGGTCTTAATCTCTGTCTCCCCCTGCTGGACAAAGTGTCTGAGGCCACTAGAAGATTGAGAAACTTGTCTAATCTCTGTTATTCACCCAGAACCTTTGATACACTCAGGAATAATCCCCAAGATGTGAGAGGGGGAATTATGGCTTTATAAACATATAGTGCCAGGACACCACAATACTGTTATCTTGTGCTTCCCGCAGGATTTGCATTGCCCCTATGTGAGAGAGGGGATTAAAGTCCCCATACCTCTTCATCCCACTCATAATCCCTGACCAAACCAGGCCCCCAGTGTCCTGTCTGGAGCGTGAAGTCACGAGCTCTGCTGGTCGGCTACTGCGTAGCAACCTAGCGGTTCCAAAAGCCCTGGTCTGCCCTAGAAAGCCTATGTAAATAACAATCGCCAGAATGGCCAAACAAAACTTCTTTAGACTGCTGTTTTAGCCTCTAAAATGTGTTTATTATGATCAAGTGCGACCCCCACGGGTAATCATTTTAAAGTTCGCTACAAATCGGGATATTTAATTAACTACACTGAACAGAAATATAAACGCAACATGCAACAATTTTCAAAGATTTGACTGAGTTACATTTCATATAAGGAAATCTGTCAATTGAAATAAACTCATTAGGCCCTAATCTATGGATTTCACATGACTTGGCAGGGGTGCAGCCATGGGTGGGCCTTGGAGGGCGTAGGCCCACTCACTTGGCAGCCAGGCCCACCCACTAGGGAGCCAGGCCCAGCCAATCAGAATACGTTTTTCCCCACTAAAGGCACCCCCCCCCCAGACGCTGTCTGCCCTCTGCCCGGTACAGTTGAAACCGGGATTCATCCGCGAAGAGCACACTTCTCCAGCGGCCAGTGGCCATCGAAGGTGAGCATTTGCCCACTGAAGTCAGTTACGACTCCGAACTGCAATCAGGTCGAGACCCTGGTGAGGACGGCAAGCTTTCCGAGACTGTTTTTGCTGAAATTCTTCGGTTGTGCATACCCACAGTTTCATCGGCTGTCCGGGTGGCTGGTCTCAGACAATCCCGCAGGTGTAGAAGCCGGATGTGGAGGTCCTGGGCTGGCGTGTTTACACTGGGTCTGCGGTTGTGAGGCCGGTTGGATGTAATTCTCTAAAACGACGTTGGAGGCAGCTTATGGTAGAGAAATTAACATTCAATTATCTGGCAACTGCTCTGGTGGACATTCCTGCAGTCAGCATGCCAATTGCATGCTCCCTCAACTTGAGACAACTGTGGCATTGTGTGACAAAACTGCACATTTTAAAGTGTCCTTTCATTGTCCCAAGCACAAGGTGCACCTGTGTACTGATCATGCTGTTTGATCAGCTTCTTGATTCACCACACCTGTCAGGTGGATGGTTTAGCTTGGCAAAGGAGAATTGCTCACTAACAGAGATGTAAACAAAATTTGAGCTAAATAAGCTTTTTGTGCATATAGAACATTTCTGGGATTTATTTCAGCTCATGAAACATGGGACCAACACCTTACATGTTGCGTTTTATATTTTTGTTCAGTGTAGTTATCCATTCTGACTACTACATTTGTCGTGACGCAGGACCACGTGCTGACACAGACAAATCACGGGCCAACAGGCTACGAGGAGGCTCGCTCCCTCAGGCCATAGGCATTTAAGGTTGACTCTCAGATGAAAACGACTACATCGACCATAATCCTTTGCTGCAGTATCGGCCACTTTCACCATGATCCTCAGTGATTTGTTTTTGGGGTGCCATTCAGCAATATGACGCTTCAAATTCAAATACTTCCGGCTTCATGCGCCATCGGGAGTTTTCCATATGAATACGTGGATGACGTCAGCGCTATCACTATCTACTGGTTTTAATGTCCATGGACCACACACATACATACATACATACATACATACATACATACATACATACATACACACACACACACACACACACACACACACACACGATTCCACCACCCACTCTGTGTTGTGTGTGTGTGTGTGTGTGTACCCAGGGGAATATTACTGGCTGGAGCCAGCGCATGCATTCGAGACGTTCCAGCCCTACGACATTGGCCAGATAGCCCTGTCCTTCCTGCAAGGCTCCTTTGCCTACGGGGGGTGGAACTTCCTCAACTATGTCACAGAGGAGCTTGTCGACCCCTACAAGTGAGCTAGATCCCCAACTTGAACGAAATCACAAGTTGCATACGGTCTCAACAGGGTAGCATTACGTACACACCCAATCTAGCCAGTCTCATGTCTGGTTATCATTAGTGCTCGACTTGAGAAGGAGCTCACCGGAGTGGAGTTCCGGCACCTAAACTGTTATACTGCTTGAGCTCCTGCACCGCTTATAGAATAGTAGCTCAAAAGTATTGTGGAGCTCCTGCACCTAAATATACTGTACCGGCACCCAAAATGAGTACCGGTACCTATTTCAGTCCAAGTCAAGCACTGGTTATCCTAGTCAACCATGATCTATACCTATAACTCTGTATTACAGATGAGACTGTGCCTGTTAGACATGTGTTATCAAATCTGATGGTAATTCACACCATAAATACACCCTCACCAGAACCCCAGCTCTTCAACCCTGTTCTTTCTGTATAACAGGAACCTTCCTCGGGCCATCTTCATCTCCATCCCTCTGGTGACTTTTGTTTACGTGTTCGCCAACATCGCCTATGTCACCGCCATGAGTCCTCAGGAGCTGCTGGCCTCCAACGCCGTCGCTGTGGTGAGATGCCCTCCCCATTCCACTGCCCTTGTGTAGTAGCTGTTGTTGGGAATCATGCAGCTTGGTCTAAAGCCTGGTTATCAGTAGAAAATGCTTTTAGTCACCGGTCTTGAGTTTCAAAGTCATCCAGAAATGTCTGTTAGTAGATATTTTGTGTGTGTTGTTGAACCTCTCTCCTCTCTCCCTTGTCCACTCCAAACTCTCTCCCAGACATTTGGTGAGAAGTTACTTGGAGTGATGTCATGGATCATGCCCATCTCTGTGGCTCTGTCTACCTTCGGGGGGGTCAATGGCTCCCTCTTCACCTCGTCGCGGTTAGTTATGCACCCCATCTCTCTCTCTTTCTCTCACACTCACACACACACTGTCTGTCATTTACATTCCCCATACCTGTTTCCTGTCTGTAGTGCGTCCTTCATACATGGGGAAATATCAGACCACAGAATGATCACATCTAGTCACTCTGATGCCTGTTCTTTCTGCACCATCTCTTCCCCTTTCTTATTCCATATGTTGTACCTCTGTGTGCCTCTACCCATCACTGCCTTGGTTTGTCATTTCTTTGTGTCCCATTTGTTATCACCTGTGTTTCTGTGTTTTTCTACACCTCAATGGACTGTTTTTTTCCCTCATTCTTTGTGAGTCCAAAAGCAACAAAACAGGGAGGACTGTTTTTCCAGTATCTCAGTGCTGACTTTGTGTTAATGTTGTTCTTCACGGTCTCTCTCATTCAGGCTGTTTTTTGCTGGAGCGAGGGAAGGCCATCTCCCCCGGGTACTGGCCATGATTCATGTGAAACGCTGCACCCCAATCCCAGCCCTGCTATTCACTGTGAGTCCTAACTTTACCCAACATCATCATCTCTCTTCCTCTCTCACTCCTACAAACATATCATCCCAGTTCACTCTCTTTCTATGTAGTCTGATCTCTCTGGAGACTTTAATGCCTAATTTGACTTTTAAATGAATGGATGATTTTTGCCCCACCTCCCCGCTTCTTTACAGTGTATATCCACCCTACTGATGCTGTGCACCAGTGACATGTATACCCTCATCAACTATGTGGGCTTCATAAACTACCTCTTCTATGGGGTCACTGTTGCTGGGCAGATTGTGCTGCGCATCAAACAGCCTGACCTGTATCGGCCTATCAAGGTAAACCCTCCATGTCTGTCCTTCCATCACTCGATCCTATTGGACAAGGTTATTGCTTTCTTGCACATTTTGGGAGGAGCATGATTTTGATAAGAATGCTAGACTGCAATCAGGACAGTATTGAGTAATGAGTCTACTCTTGTTTATGACAAGTTACAAGCTGACACATGCACAATGCCATCATTTTCAAAGCATGCGTTGTGTTCCCCCTGTGCATTGTTCAATTTTGTTGACTCTGTACTTTGTTTGTATTACATTGTTTGTGTAAAGTTGATCATGTATGGGATTGTGTAGTTTGCTTGTGTATAGATTGTTGGCTGTCCTGTCTTCAGGTGAGCCTGGTGTGGCCAGTGATCTACCTGTTGTTCTGGGCCTTCCTGCTCATCTTCTCGCTGTACTCTGAGCCCGTGGTGTGTGGCCTCGGCATGGCTATCATGCTGACTGGAGTCCCTGTCTACTTCCTGGGGGTCTACTGGGACAACAAGCCCCAATGCTTCAACACCTTCATCGGTATGGAAACCATATTCACTAGTGATGGTGCTCATTACTACGACCCCTAGTTCTTCCTGGTCAGGTCATGTGGTCAGGAAACACTGGGTTCTAGTTAAGTGGTAAAAAACGGTACCTGTACCATTCATTGTAGTGCAAAATGCTTTACCTTTGGGATTATATTGATATGAAATCTCTTATTTTCTTCTTTCACTCTTGGTTACTCACTTCCTTCTCCCACCCAGGTAAGATGACCCTCGTGTGCCAAAAGTTCTGTGTGGTGGTGTACCCAGACATGGGTGAAAGCAAAAATGTAGGAAACCAGGGATCAGAACAGGGACAGAAAGAAGAACAGGGGAATGCATTGAACCCATCTGAATGAACATTGGCACAGGCAGAAACACGGATGAACACATTGTCACACTCTTAAAGGGTGTCAAGAGAGACTGGGAGACTTCAAAAGATGGACAGATGCACTCAAGGAAAAATGCTACAGCACTGGGTTTTCTCTCTTAAATGTTGACTGGCCTTAAGACTTTGCACATCTGCCTCAGTGCAATACTACTGCCCATTCCCAGGAGTCTGAGCTGCAATAACAATATAGTGGATAGATAAGTCATTTTGAGGTTCAGATGTAAATATCATTTCTTGTAGGATCTGTTTTTGGTAAATGTTGTACTGTATTGTCTTTTATTTTGGTAACTGTTTTATTTCTGTTTTGGTTGTGGCAGTTGTTTAATAGTGATCTTAATGTATAGTCTCCCACATAACACTAAAAAAAGTGTAATTCCCTAAATGTTTTTGATTTACTGCATTTCATTTATCACCCCTTTTTATTGGCTTATGTTGTTATACATGAGTGTAATGTTTTCTGCAGTCTGCTCTTTAACATACTGTACTGTAGCGGCAGGTGTATGGCATACTCCTGAACGATCAGATCGTTTTATGTGATATAGCCACTTTAAAGTCACCTTATCTCACTCTCACATAACTTGTTAAAATCTTGAACATCAATGCATATTATTTTAAATTCTTGCAAAATAACTAGCATGACCCATACACTGAAAGTAATAATAATGTAAACAACTGATTAATATAGAAATGCTGCACAGAAAATATATAATTTACATGACGTTTTGCTCAAAGGGGCACACCTCAGCTGTGTATAGTTGTCAATAATAATGCACTGCACTCCTATAATGCCAGTCACAGGTCTTTTTAGCAATGATTGAAATGTTTGGTATTACTGTGCTGCTCAGCACGGAAGTGCTCTATTCCTTACACTTTCAAGTTTCATTACCATTTTATATTCTACAATATCAATACAAACAAGCAATGAAACACACTACTAGTCACTTGAAATGTATGCAATCCCTCTCACTGTGAACTGCCACCATCTTTCTTACATGCTTTGTTACCCTGTTTGTAAAGCAACAACAGGCAGCTCGCGCCATGACAATATTACCTCTCGAAGTGAAAATTAACATGCACGCTCCCACTGTCTCCTTGTGGTGCTGGGAAGCCCCATGCTGGTGGTTTAGTTTGTCACATTAAAATCCTCCCACAAACACAATTACCTCTCTGCTCCATTTATGTGGTCAGATGTACGCTTCAGAGGACATTACTTCACTTTCCATGTGATATTCAATGCCGCCTTGAAGATGTATGCAATATATGTGCCACCACTGTTTTGTAATAACATGTAATACAGCTCTTCATCAACACCACATACATGTGTTTATTGAGTATTATGTGTGTCTGCAGTGGCAGAAAGGGAAAAGTGCATGCTTACACACTTTTTAACACACACAATGTTATATGTATGAAAATTATAAAATTACATTTATGGGGATGATGAGAGGAATGTAGCTATAATATGGAAAACTATGACTGACCATCACCATCAATGTAATTGTTCAGGTGATCGCTTCTCTATCTGGCCATGCACCATCAGTTTACTCTGCACCCCCACATTTACATTTACATCATTTAGCAGACGCTCTTATCCAGAGCGATTTACAAATTGGTGCATTCAATTTAGAAGGGAGGGGAGGGGGAAGGATTACTTTATACTATTCCAGGTATTCCTTAAAGAGGTAGGGTTTCAAGTGTCTCCGGAAGGTGGTCAGTGACTCCGCTGTCCTGGCGTCGTGGGGGAGCTTGTTCCACCATTGGGGTGCCAGAGCAGCGAATAGCTTTGACTGGGCTGAGCGGGAACTGTGCTTCCGTAGAGGTAGGGGAGCTAGCAGGCCAGAGGTGGATGAACGTAGTGCCCTCGTTTGGGTGTAGGGTCTGATCAGAGCCTGAAGGTAAGGAGGTGCCGTTCCCCTCACAGCTCCGTAGGCAAGCACCATGGTCTTGTAGTAGATGCCTCATCAAGCGTTTATCCACCTGGGGTGTATTCATTAGTCATATTCTGTTGCAAAGCATTTCGTCTGTTGCAAAACGTTTTGCAACAAAAACGAGTTTCTATTGGACAAATTCAGTTCTGTTTGGTTCCTAGAATAAACGATAAACTGTTTGAATACTGTTGTCAATGACACCGACCTCTACGTAGCCCACAGTCACAGATATAACAATGAGACAGATATTTCACTGGATGTCTAAATATGAAGCATCTGCTTGACGTTTACACTCACTGTCAAATATGGTAGTGAGAGGAAGCCCAGCGGCTGGCAGTGGGAGAAGATGGAAGGAGATGGATTTTGGTCTACATTCTGCAAATGTTATCATCGATGAAACATTTGATCTCAATACAGTTTTCTGTTCCCAAAACTATAATCTGTTATGAACAGAGTGGACTACGTGTTGTAGACTTTAGCCTTTGCCAAAGTTGTAAAAAATCGCGTTGTTTAGAAGGAGCGCAAAGGCGAATTGAGTTATTGCACACGCGCATTTCCCAGAGTAGACGTCCCCTCACTGAAATATGCAGATACATGCTAGAACGGACCAATAGGATCTCGGTAGCTCGTGCTTGGCTCTGCCCACCCCCTTGCTTGTTCTGCCCACTATGACTCATCTGTTCCCATTGGAAACGACAGGCTGTGGTCTATCTTGGTTTAGTTATAAAAAATATACAGTGTTCCAAGCAATGATGTATATAAACCCTGGATTGCTAATGCTATGTGTTGGCCATTGAGAGGCTTTGAAGCCACCGGTCGGCCATATTGGCAACCCCCAATAGGAGCAGTCCTCCATAGGAATGAATGGAATTCTACAGTATTTCAATGAAATGTGTAAAACAAAATTACATGTATTTAGGTATGTTTTTGTTGTAGTGGGGACAGTAATATTAGTAATAAAAAAAATATATACTTTAAGGAAGATGTTTTAATATATAGTTTTTTTTATGTGTTTAGCTCACATAATGTAATTCAGAAGTATTCATTAAGGTTTCTGTAATAGAAAAAATTTGGCTAAAATGAATGTAAATATTAATAAATGCATTTCTATAGCTATTTTTTTTACACCGGTGAGGGAATGCCAAGATGGAGGCAAGGGGCTTCAACACAGCGCCCCATATCAGTCATCTAGTGTATGTATATATAAAAATAATTCCTTCCTTGCCTAAGGGGCGGAGTTCAAGCCTTGTCAGAGATCCGATTTCGGAAGTGATGCTGCCATTATGTTTTTCAGATGAAGTTTATGGGTTTAGGTACTGTCGTACATTAGGCGTCCAGCCAAGATAGCCGCTGAGTAGTTTTAGTTGCCCATTCATTTGTGAGGCAAGAGTTTAATGAATGTTGACACATCTCCGTTTATTGAGTAAAGAAACCGGCTTGGTATTTTTATAGGGGCGTTTTCACTTTCTGAAGGTAAGCGACTAGCATCAAGCTCCCATGTAATCGGAGGTTATCCTCGAGCATTAGTTAGCTGGCTAAATAAATGCATGGTTGACATCTCTTCTCTATTAAAGATGTTCTAAACGTAGATCGCCTAACGAACTGAATTTATATGCAAGAGCTGTGGTTCCTCGCTTGCAACACAGCATTAAAACATCGTGTGTTGTGTCTAGCAGTGCTAGTTAGGTGAATGAATTCGATAGCTACATTGACTGTATCAATATTAAATTGACGTCACTGTCTTATATTTCACAGCAGCCTGTATCATGTAAGGCTTGTTGTTTCGTATTTTACTTTTCACTGTAATGAATGACTGAACGGCTGCTCTATTTAAAAACGAATTAGAGACCTTCTCAGGTGTATCATTAACCGCACCTGCACCTCGGAAGTAATAATGTTGTGCTTCATGACTGTACAGGAAATGCGAGTGATTTTACAGGCGCTCATGAAAATCTTATTAGTTCTTATTAGTCTTGCATGGACCGACACTCAAATACATTTTCCCGTTCAGATTACTGTCTTCTTGTATGTCTATGTCATTTGCCATACGTGTCGGTGAACCAGGCAGGTAATAAGGACTTTTGTTGATGTTGTTGGAACTGTTGAACATCGCTCATCCTGACCCTCCCTCTCTCTCTCTGTCCCACACAAACACATACACGCAGAGCCATGTCTCCTTCGGTGCGTCTGCAGGAGATGATCAGGGTGATCAGAGGAGCCCGTACACAGGGAGAGGAACGTGGTGTGATCCAGAGGGAGTGTGCTGCCATCCGGGCGCAGTTTAGACAGGCTGACAATGGGACTCGCTCTCACAACCTGGCAAAGCTGCTGTATGTGCACATGCTGGGCTACCCCGCCCACTTCGGTCAGGTAGTGAACAGTGCTCTTAAGACAATAATAATAATAAGAATAATTTATTTAGCTTCTATAGCGCTTTCCATTACAGAATCTCAAAGCATTTTTAAATAAAAAATAAACAAGCATCATATAAAATATATACAGTATGTAGCTACACTGAACAAAAATATAAACGCAACATGCAACAATTTCAAAAATGTTTAATGAGTTACAGATGGAAGTCCCATAGGGCTGCGCACAATTGGCCCAGCGTCGTCCGGGTTTGGCCGGTGTAGGCCGTCATTGTAAATAAGAATTTGTTCTTAACTGACTTGCCTAGTTAAATGAAGGTTAAATAAAAAATTAAAATAAATAAGGAAATCAATCAACTGAAATCATTTAATTAGGCCCTAATCTATGGATTTCACATGACTGGGAATACAGATATGCATCTGTTGGTCACAGATACCTTTAAAAAAAAAGGTAAGGGTGTGTATCAAAGAACCAGTCCGTATCTGGTGTGACCACCATTTGCCTCATGCAGCGCAACACATCTACTTTGCCTAGATTTGATCAGGCTGTTGGTACTGGCCTGTGGAATGTTGTCCCACTCCTCTTCAATGGCTGTGCGAAGTTGATGGATATTGGCGGGAACTGGAACACGCTGTCGTACATGTCGATACAGAGCATTCCAAACATACTCAATGGGTGACATGTCTGGTGAGTATGCAGGCCATGGAAGAACTGGGACATTTTCAGCTTCCAGGAATTGTGTACAGATCCTTAACGTGACATGGGGCCGTGCATTATCATGCTGAAACATGAGGTGATGATGGCAGATGAGTGGCACGATAATGAGCCTTAGGATCTCGTCACGGTATCTCTGTGCTTTCAAATTGCCATCGATAAAATGCAATTGTGTTCATTGTCTGTAGCTTATGCCTGCTCATACCTTAACCCCACCGTCACCATGGGGCACTCTGTTCACAACGTTGACATCAGCAAACCGCTCGCCCACACTACGCCATACACGCTGTCTGCCATCTGCCCGGAACAGTTGAAACCGGGATTCACCCGTGAAGAGCACATTTCTCCAGCGTGCCAGTGGCCATCAAACGTGAGCATTTGCCCACTGAAGTCGGTTATGAGGCCGAAATGCAGTCAGGTCAAGACCCTGGTGAAGACGACAAGCACGTAGATGAGATAATTTCTGACAGTTTGTGCAGAAATTCTTTGGTTATGCAAACCCACAGTTTTATCAGCTGTCCAGGTGGCTGGTCTCAGATGATCCCGCAGTTGAAGAAGCCGGATGTGTAGGTCCTGGGCTAGCGTGGTTACACGTGGTCTGTGGTTGTGAGGCCAGTTGGACATACTGCCAAATTCTCTAAAACGAAATTGGAGGCGACTTATAGTAGAGAAATGAACATTACATTCTGTGGCAACAGCTCTGGTTGACATTCCTGCATTCAACATGCCAATTGCACGCTCCCTCAAATCTTGCGACATCTGTGGCATTATATTGTGTGACACAACTGCACATTTTAAAGTGGCCTTTTATTTTCCCCAGCACAAGGTGCACCTGTGTAATGAACATGCTGTTTAATCAGCTTCTTGATATGCCACACCTGTCAGGTGGATGGATGATATTGGCAAAGGATAAATGCTCACTAACAGGGATGTAACCACATTTCTGCACAACATTTGAGAGAAAAGCTTTTTGTGCATATGGAAAATGTCGGGGATCTTTTATTTAAGCTCATGAAACATGGGACCAACACTTTACATGTTGCGTTTATATTTTTGTTCAGTATACATAACAGATGTCAGGGGATGACTCTGTAGAGTTGGTATATTTGTATCCTATCAATTCTCCGACCCCCTATCTGGTCTCAGATGGAGTGTGTGCGTCTGATTGCAAGCCCTCGGTACAATGAGAAACGTGTTGGGTACCTGGGTGCCATGATGCTTCTAGACGAGAAACAGGATGCCAGCCTGCTCATCACTAACTCCATCAAGAAGTAAGGACAATTTTTATCTGACATTTTACAATTGGAAATATAAGACAGACAGAACTCTGACGCAGTCAGACAAACGGAACTCTGATAATCATCTGGAACTGGATCTGTCTAGAGTTCCATAATCATGTCTAGGCTGTGTACGATCAATGTAGTCATTAGTTAAACATTGAACTAGTGGTCTAGTAGCCTCTACTTGAGCACAAAGCAATTGAGAAATTGACATTAAACACCCATCCTTCTCTCCCTGTGTGTGTTTCAGTGACCTGTCCCACAGCAGTCAATATGTCCAGTCTCTGGCTCTGTGTACTCTGGCCTGTATGGGCTCAGCTGAGATGTGTCGAGACCTAGCCCCAGAGATCGACCGTCTCCTCAGAGCCTCGAACTCCTACATCAAGAAGAAGGTGAGCACTGTGTGTAGCCCCACACACACACACACACACACACCACCACTCCTTCCATCATGGCTGAGCTTGGTAATGCAGAAACACAAACCAATCCATCTTGATCACTACTGTCAAACACTGCATTGCAACAGACTGACGTAAACAATCATGTGCACTGATGTTGAAGGTTATTTTTGTTATGAAGCTGATCGTGATGACATTGACATTTCAGGCTGCTCTTTGTGCAGTACACATCGTGAGAAAAGTACCAGAGCTAGGAGAGCTGTTCACCCCTGCAGCTCGATCCCTGCTCTCTGAAAAGAACCATGGTGAGTCACTTTCATCTATCCATTTTTGTATTTTATTACCAGCTATCTGTTTAAAAAAACAAAATCAAAACAGCTGTTCACTGTCTGCTCCTTTGTGCCAAGCTGTCCGTCTCTACCTGTTTCACAGTCTTACATTTGAGGACAGTACGTAGTCATACATTTTGACTGTGAGCTGTTATTATGCATGTTATAGTATAGTAAATGGTGTCAGTGTGGCAATTATTCCCCTGTCCTAATGGTTTGGTCCGATTGCAGGGGTGTTACATGGAGCTGTGGTTCTGATCACTGAGCTGTGTGAGCGCAACCCAGACACTCTAGAGCAGTTTCGTAAGGTAAGACACACACCCACCTCATCCCACTCCATTCCAGTACATCCACTAACATGATACATTACATTTCAGTCCCTTGAAATGTATATATTTAGTTTAACACTGTAACATCCAATGCCAAAAACAGAACACATTCTCCCACAACCCTAGATGGTCTGTGAGCCTGACTCCTGCCCTGTGTGTGTTTGGTCCAGGCGGTGCCGGAGCTGGTCCAGATGATGAAAGGCCTGGTGATGTCGGGTTACTCTCCAGAACACAACGTGGCTGGGATCAGTGACCCATTCCTGCAGGTCAGTGTTTTGAATGATTTATTTTACCAGGTGAATTGGAGTCGGGGTAAAAACAAGCAATTTGTGGGGCCTCCTGAGTGGCGTAGCGGTCTAAGGCACTGCATCGCAGTGCTAGAGGCGTCACTACAGACCCCGGTTCGATCCCGGGCTGTACCACAACCAGCCGTGATCGGGAGTCTCATAGGGTGGTGCACAATTGGCCCAGCGTCGTCCGGGTTAGGGGAGGGTTTGGCCGGGGGTCTTTACTTGGCTCATCGCGCTCTAGCGACTCCTTGTGGCGAGCAGGGCGCCTGCAGGCTGACCTCGGTCGTCAGTTGAACAGTGTTTCCTCCGACACATTGGTGCGGTTGGCTTCCGGGTTAAGCTGGCGGGTGTTAAGAAGCGCGATTTGGCGGGTCATGTTTCGGAGGACACATGACCCGATCTCCGCCTCCCGAGCCTGTTGGGGAGGCGATAAGACAAGATCGAAATTGGGGAGGAACCTACATGTTACTCTCTCTTCCTTCTTTCTCCATCATTAGGTGCGCATTCTTAGGTTACTGAGGATCTTGGGGCGCAATAATGATACAGCCAGTGATGCCATGAATGACCTGCTGGCCCAGGTACAGTATTTTAATCAGTAAATAGTCATGCAGGGTTGTTGTTGTATGAACTATTTAGATTTTGATCACAGCTTATGTATTATTGACCTTCAGGTGGCTACGAACACAGACAGCAGCAAGACTGCAGGCAGTGCTGTTTTGTATGAAACTGTTCTCACTGTCATGGACATCAAATCAGAAAGTGGCTTGAGGGTTAGTGCCACGTATGATAGCGTCAAGTAATTTCTTGTTTTTGTACATTTTACATCTATTGAATGTGCTACAAGTGATAGAGGCTAATGTAGCTAACATTTCTGTACAACAGTATCTAATATGTGTTTTTTGTGTGTGACAGGTCCTGGCTGTGAACATCCTGGGGAGATTTCTTCTGAACAATGATAGGAACATCCGGTTAGTCTCCCCTCACTCTCCCTCCTTCCCTCTCTCTCTTCCTTTGATCTCATCTGGTCCTTTTTCATGGTTTCTAGCCCATTGCCTAGAAGCTTATTGTTGCCTGAGGCAGACAAATGTCTGGATTCTGATCAGTCTAAACACGGTCAGCAATGTCTATTCCTGTGATTATTTAGCTAGAGGCCTTACAATGACAGACCGGGTTGTGGGCTCTCTGTACGTCGTGGGCTACGTTCACGTATCAGTTTCCTTTTTATCTGTTTGTTCTGAGGCATACTTTCTGTTGGGATTGTCCCAGTAGGGTCTGTCTGGCCCAGCAGGCTATTTTGGTCTGGTCCCAGGGTTAACCTCCTGTCCCTGTGGTAGTGTGACGGCTGCTGAAGAGCTGCTAGACTGGCTCAGAGCAGATAGGATCATTCTCTCAGAATGCAGTCATATCATTTCACCAGATACACTTTATATACAAAAGTATGTGGACACCCGTTCAAATTTGTGGATTCGGCTATTTCAGCCACACTGTTGCTGACAGGTGTATAAAATCGAGCACACAGCGATGCAATCTCCATAGACAAACATTGGCAGTAGAATGGCCGTACTGAAGAGCTCAGTGGCTTTCAACGTGGCACCATCATAGGATGCCACCTTTCCAACAAGTCAGTTCGTCAAATTTCTGCCCTGCTAGAGCTTCCCCGGTCAACTGTAAGTGCTGTTATTGTGAAGTGGAAATGTCTAGGAGCAATAATGGCTCAGCCACGACGTGGTAGGCCACACAAGCTCACAGAATGGGACCGCCGAGTGCTGAAGTGCGTAGCACGTAAAAATCGTCTGTCCTCGGTTGCAACACTCACTACCGATTTCCAAACTGCCTCTGGAAGCAACGTCAGCACAAGAACTGTTTGGCAGGAGCTTCATGAAATGGGTTTCCATGGCCGAGCAGCCGCATACAAGCCTAAGATCACCATGCGCAATGCCAAGCGTCGGCTGGAGTGGTGTAAAGCTTGCCGCCATTGGACTCTGGAGCAGTGGAAACGCGTTCTCTGGAGTGATTAATCATGCTTCACCATCTGGCAGGCCGACGGACGAATCTGGGTTTGGCGGATGCCAGGAGAACGCTACCTGCCCCAATGCAAAGTGTCAACTGTAAAGTTTGGTGGAGGAGGAATAATTGTCTGGGGCTGTTTTCCGTGGTTCGGGCTAGGACCCTTAGTTCCAGTGAAGGGAAATCTTAACTCTACAGCATACAATGACATTCCTAGATGATTCTGTGCTTCCAACTTTGTGGCAACAGTTTGGGGAAGGCCCTTTCCTGTTTCAGCATGACATGCCCCCGTGCACAAAGTGAAGTCCATACAGAAATGGTTTGTCGAGATCGGTGTGGAAGAACTTGACTAGCCTACACAGAGCCCTGACCTCAACCCCATCGAACACCTTTGGGATGAATTGGAATGCTGACTGCGAGCCAGGCCTAATCGCCCAACATCAATGCCCGACTGCACTAATGCTCTTGTGGCTGAATGGAAGCAAGTCCCCGCAGCAATGTTCCAACATCTAGTGGAAAGCCTTCCCAGAAGAGTGGAGGCTGTTATAGCAGCAAAGGGGGGACCGACTCCATATTAATGCCCATGATTTTGGAATGAGATGTACACTTAGGTTGTAGTCATTAAAACTTGTTTTTCAACCACTCCACAAATGTCTTGTTAACAAACTATAGTTTTGGCAAGTCGGTTAGGACATCTACTTTGTGCATGACACAAGTACATTTTCCAACAATTGTTTACAGACAGATTATTTCACTTATAATTCACTGTATACAATTCCAGTGGGTCACTAAGTTGACAGTGCCTTTTAAACAGCTTGGAAAATTCCAGAAAATGATGTCATGGCTTTAGAAGCTTCTGATAGGCTAATTGACATCATTTGAGTCAACTGGAGGTGTACCTGTGGATGTATTTCAAGGCCTACCTTCAAACTCAGTGCCTCTTTGCTTGACATCATGGGAAAATCAAAAGAAATCAGCCAAGACCTCAGAAAAAAAATTGTAGACCTCCAAGTCTGGTTCATCCTTCCATAACCTGAAAGGCCGCTCAGCAAGGAAGAAGCCACTGCTCCAAAACCGCCATAAAAAAGCCAGACTACGGTTTGCAACTGCACATGGGGACAAAGATCGTACTGTTTTTGAGAAATGTCCTCTGGTCTAATGAAACAAGAATAGAACGGTTTGGCCATAATGACCATCGTTATGTTTGGAGGAAAAAGGGGAACGCTTGCAAGCCGAAGAACATCATCCCAACCGTGAAGCACGGGGGTGGCAGCATCATGCTGTGGGGGTGCTTTGCTGCAGGAGGGACTGGTGCACTTCACAAAATAGATGGCATCATGAGGAAGGAAAATTATGTGGATATATTGAAGCAACATCTCAAGACATCAATCAGGAACTTAAAGCTTGGTTGCAAATGGGTCTTCCAAATGGACAAGCATACTTCCAAAGTTGTGGCAAAATGGTTTAAGGACAACAAAGTCAAGGTATTGGAATGGCCATCACAAAGCCCTGACCTCAATCCTATAGAAAATGTGTGGGCAGAACTGAAAAAGCGTGTGTGAGCAAGGAGGCCTACAAACCTGACTCAGTTACACCAGCTCTGTCAGGAGGAATGGGCCAAAATTCACCCAACTTATTGTGGGAAGCTTGTGGAAGGCTACCCGACACGTTTGACATAAGTTAAACAATTTAAAGGCAATGCTACCAAATACTAATTGAGTGTATGTAAACTTCTGACCCACTGGTAATGTGATTAAAGAAATAAAAGCTGAAATAAATCATTCTCTCTACTATTATTCTGACATTTCACATTCTTAAAATAAAGTGGTGATCCTAACTGACTAAGACAGGGCATTTTTACTAGGATTAAATGTCAGGAATTGTGAAAAACTGAGTTTAAATGTATTTGGCTAAGGTGTATGTAAACTTCCGACTTCAACTGTACATGAGATGGGAGATCTTGGAAATGATAGTTGTAGAAGAAAATAACGTATGTTGCTTGGTTGAGCAGAGTATATGTTCCATTAAATGTATGCGTGCACCAATTGTGTTGATAATTCACAGCCCTCACACAAATATAACTTGTCTGAATGTCTGTTTCTTTTTATTCATGCACAGGTACATCTCCATGACTTCCCTTCAGAAGATTGTTCAGACGGACCACAATGCAGTGCAGCGTCACAGGGGGACCATAGTGGACTGCCTGAAGGACCAGGATGCTTCTGTCAAACGGTACTGTTGTGATTTCTGAACCTGTCTTACCAGCTAGCCATGTGCCTCCTATTCATGAGCTAGGATGGAAGGAGGTCTGGTAATGCAGAGAACAACAAACAGTATGTAGTTATATTATTGATGTTTATCCCTCAGCCGGGCGTTGGAGCTTTCTCTGGCCCTGGTTTCAGCTGTCAACATCCGCTCTCTGATGAAGGAGCTTCTCCTCTTCCTCTCCAGCTGTCCCCCAGAGCTCCGAGCACACACCACCTCAGGCATCTTCAACGCTGCAGAGAGGTACTGGGCTGGACCTCGCCTGCCTATGGGCTTTAAAAATCTCTATGCCACCAAGTCTCTTTTTGTGGTTTCTGTGTGCTGGGATGTCTCATTTTGTGTCTTTGTCTATATGAATGTTTCCCTGTCTCTTTGTGTGATGTGCTACTGTGTTTCTGTCTTGCTCTTAGTGTCTGTATGTCTCTCAGCTATCTGGCTGTTCTACCACAAAACACACACAGGCCTAGCCAGTAGCCTGCCCTCCCTGTGTGTCAGTCTCTGTGACTGTCTGTCTGTATCTGTGTCTGAGCCGCAACACTGACCACTAAGTCTGTCTCTGTGTCTCTGTCAGGTATGCTCCCTCTCAGCGCTGGCACATTGACACCATCCTGCATGTCCTCACCACGGTAAATACTGACACTGTACTGCACCACAATCACCTGGGTTCAGAGCCGCTACTCTACGACTTGTTTTAACTATGACTAGCTATTGTAAATACCCCCATGATGTATCACACTTTTACCACCCCACTAGCCTATACCTCAAGCCGTCTGGGTAGAAACTAGGCCGCCCCACATTGCCACTGTTTGACTCTAGTCTAGACAGTAGAGTTCTTCAGGGGTCAAGAAAGTAGGACCCATTTCGAAATGGACCTGGGGCTTTCCCACACGGACCTGATATACATAAATACAATTTTAAAATATAGAGACCCGTTCCGAACGGACCCGAGGACAACTAGTTAATTTGGTCGGATCCAGACCGATCCGAGTGAGTGAACATTATAAGATACTTTATTAACCAGAGCTGATAGAGGGAGAGAGAGGTGCTGCTCTAGCAGGGACTGTGCAGTGTGTGTAATCTGAGTGTGAGCGAGTGACACTGGGAGGAGGTGGAGTTAGGGAGAGATGAGAGACTGCAACCAACCAAGTCGAAGGAGGGAGAGATGGCAACCAATCAAGTCGACTCGTGCTATAGTAGATAGCTGCCATAGCTAGGTTATTTATCATCCAGTATGATTACGTCGTACCTGTCTTGACTGCATCAAACCGGGAGAAGCTAGTTAAGCAAGCTAGCTAGAGTAATTGAGTCTGCATGTGCTTTCTCACCCTACACAGTTGGCTACAAATAACAACAACTCCATTCAGAATATTAAGTAGCAGCCTACCTGTTGGCTCTTTGTAGCCTGTCCTTCTCCTTTAACTTTCAATTCTGTCATTTATTTCCATCTTCCATTGATTAGATATCTCCTCACTTTTGCCACACACGGAGGCTCTATGACTGAAGCCTGTTGGCGCTTTGATGACTTATGATTGGCCAACAACAAGCTACACGCGCCTCTCGTGAAAAGCAAGAGCAGCAGCATAAATTATAGAATTTCTCTCTCTACTGCAGCAGTCGCGTTCGGATCTGTACGGGTCCTTCCGGACAAGTCAGTTAAAATTACACATACCCGAGACCCGTGACAGTCAGATCCAACCCAGACCCGTGACATTATTTAGAATTCTGGATACGGACCCGCTCAGGTCCCGGATCGGGTCTCAGGTATTCGGGTACAGGTGGATCCGTGAAGCCCTCTACTAGGCAGTCCTGTGTTTGACTGTAGTACCATCTCTTTCAGGCAGGGGGTGACGTGAGGGATGAGACGGTGCCCAACCTGATCCAGCTCATTACAACAGCAACAGAACTACACTGCTACACGGTCCACAAGCTGTACAGAGCCCTGATTACAGACATCTCAGTGGTATGGCTTTAGGATGAATGTGTTTGTGTTATTGGTCAGGAAATCCTCAAGGCCCTGGTTATACTCGATTATCAGCTGTGGAACTGTGCAACGTTTGTTTGTGTGTGTTCAGCAATCCCTGGTACAGGTGGCATGCTGGTGTATTGGGGAGTATGGAGACCTGCTTCTGAGAGGAGAGTGTGAGGAGACAGAACCTGTTCAGGTACATGCTTTGGTTGTTGTAACACAGTCATGGTTAATACCAATTGACAATACAGTAGTAATTGTCATAAAACCGAGGCAGTAGTTGTTGTTTTCTGTCCTGCACTTAGGTGACAGAGGATGATGTCCTGGACGCCTTGGAAACAGTTCTACAGTCACATATGTCGTCACCGGCAACCAGGGGCTTCGCTCTCACGGCAACCATGAAACTCAGCACACGCATAACACATAACGTGGAGTAAGCATAGTTTTCGCACACACTCCTCGGTACACTGCTAGAACCACTATACAGCAACTACTGAAAACTGCTGTGTCAGTTTTGCCCACTGCATGGGGCCTTGGGACTTGACTTGACTCTCTACATTGCTGATCCAGAGAATACTAAAATAGCTCTTGCTTCCTGCTGTTTTTCTCTCCCCTGTACCTCTCTGGCAGTCGTATTAGGAGCATCGTCAGCATCTACGGCAGCTGCATCGACGTGGAACTCCAGCAGAGGGCAGTGGAATATAACGCTCTATTCAAGAAATACGACCACATGAGGTACAACCAATAATATACGTATACTATTTCCAATGTTAGCCAATCATACATATAAACTCAGCAAAAAAAGAAACGTCCCTTTTTCAGGACCCTGTCTTTCAAAGATAATTAGTAGAAATCCAAATATCTTCACAGATCTTCATTGTAAAGGGTTTAAACACTGTTTCCCATGCTTATTCAATGAACCATAAACAATTAATGAACTTGCACCTGTGGAACGGTCGTTAAGACACTAACAGCTTACCGACAGAAGGCAATTAAGGTCACAGTTATGAAAACTTAGGACACTAAAGAGGCCTTTCTACTGACTCTGAAAAACACCAAAAGAAAGATGCCCAGGGTCCCTGCTCATCTGCGTGAACGTGCCTTAGGCATGCTGCAAGGAGGCATGAGGACTGCAGATGTGGCCAGGGCAATAAATTGCAATGTCCGTACTGTGAGACGCCTAAGACAGCACTACAGGGAGACAGGACGGACACCTGCGGTACAGATACAGGATGGCAACAACAACTGCCCAGGTTACACCAGGAATGCACAATCCCTCCATCAGTGCTCAGACTGTCCGCAATAGGCTGAGAGAGGCTGGACTGAGGGCTTGTAGGCCTGTTGTAAGGCAGGTCCTCACCAGACATCACCGGCAACAACATCGCCTATGGGCACAAACCCACCGTTGCTGGCAAAAAGTGCTCTTCACTGACGAGTCACGGTTTTGTCTCACCGGGGGTGATGGTCAGATTCACGTTTATCGTCGAAGGAATGAGCGTTACACCTAGGCCTGTACTCTGGAGCGGGATCGATTTGGAGGTGGAGGGTCCGTCATGGTCTGGGGCGGTGTGTCACAGCGTCATCGGACTGAGCTTGTTATTGCAGGCAATCTGAACGCTGTGCGTTACAGGGAAGACATCCTCCACCCTCATGTGGTACCCTTCCTGCAGGCTCATCCTGACATGACCCTCCAGCATGACAATGCCACCAGCCATTCTGCTCGTTCTGTGATTGATTTCCTGCAAGACAGGAATGTCAGTGTTCTGCCATGGCAAGCGAAGAGCCCGGATCTCAATCCCATTGAGCACGTCTGGGACCTGTTGGATCGGAGGGTGAGGGCTAGGACCATTCCCCCTAGAAATGTCAGGGAACTTGCAGGTGCCTTGGTGGAAGAGTGGGGTAACATCTCACAGCAAGAACTGGCAAATCTGGTGCAGTCCATGAGGAGGAGATGCACTGCAGTACTTAATGCAGCTGGTGGCCACACCAGATACTGACTGTTACTTTTGATTTTGACCCCCCCTTTAATCAGGGACACATTATTCAATTTCTGTTAGTCACATGTCTGTGGAACTTGTTCAGTTTATGTCTCAGTTGTTGAATCGTGTTATGTTCAAACAAATATTTACACATGTTAAGTTTGCTGAAAATAAACGCAGTTGACAGTCAGAGGACGTTTGTTTTTTTGCTGAGTTTAGTAATATATTTATGTATGAGTACAGTGCCAGTGAGTGGTGCTTTTTATCATGGTAGCCACGATATCCCACCCCAATACACTGCTAAGAGAGCTCTCTGTGCTCGCAGGGCTGCAGTGCTGGAGAGAATGCCGGTGATTGACAAAAGCTCCCCGGGACATACCAATGGAGAATCAACAACTATCAAAGAGTTGGAGCCAACCAAACTGACACAGGAAATAGTATTGTCCCAGGAACCTTCTAATCAGGTAAGTGATGAAAATGACTGCAATACACTTTGGTATTTCAGCTATCTGGATATGAAGAATAGAACTGACCTAATATTGTATACTGTGTGTGCACTTTCTCAAGCTAAACTTCTCGAATGTTACACATTGTGGAATCTTTACCATCATTTCCCCTTGTCAAGGTGTGTGATCTGTTGGACCTGCTGGGTGGTTCTGGGGAGCCTCTCCAGCCCAGCCCGTCCCTGTCCAGCACAGCACCCGGCCCTGCTAGCAGCACGGCTGGGGGAGACCTACTGGACCTGCTGGGAGGCCTGGATGTCACACCTGGTGAGACACACAACAGCTGAGAAAGGGAGAGCGGGAGAGTGAAAGAGGGCAATGGGCAGAGCAGGGGGTCGCAAAGAGATAGATGGAGGGCGAGATGGAGTCAAATATCAACTGTTTTGGAATGAACACATCTGTAGCTTTATACAAAATATACAGTACATCTTCATAATGTAATTAAATGATAATCTGTTTTTGATGTTGAATTCCATGATTCCCAGTGACAGATTTTTTATTTGTGTTTCCATAGCACCACCTAGTGTTACAGTGTATGAGAAGAACGGTGTGACTCTGAAACTACAGACTGACAGACAGACAGACACAGGGATGACCGTTACCCTCACTGCCACCAACTCCACTGATGGGGACATCACTGGCCTCACCCTGCAAGCAGCAGTACCCAAGGTCTGCTTCCCCCTCTCTTTGTCAGACTACCTTTGTATTTGGTATTCCAAGCTTGTATGTCATGAGTAGGGTCCTTTAGACCATGTAACCGGACCAGGAAGAACTCTGGGCCCTAGTTATAGGCTGTTCATGATCTTTGTCTCGCACTCCCATCCACCTCAGAGCGTCCAGTTACAGATGAAGGCTCCGAGTGGTGACGTCATCCCTGCACATGGCTTAGGTCAGGTGACCCAGACTGTGCTCCTCAACAACCCAAACAAGGTGGGTCTTCATTCAGTCAGTTCATGGTCACCACACACTCACAGGCACACCCACAATGGACTAAACATTCACTTCCCCCCCCCCAGGTGAGTCTGAAGATTAGGGTTCGTGTGTGCTACACCAGCCAGGGCTCTGTCTGCCAGGACATGGTGCAGATCGACTCCTTCCCCAGCCCCGCCTGGTAATGACCGCTGCAATCAACCTGTTCATCAACACAGACAATGTACATGGAAGGATCGACAGCCGACCAGGCCCAGGAGTGGGGATCCATTCTACCTAACAGCTGCCTGTCAATCATACAGAGGGGATCCTCTCTGTCAATCAACTATTCTACACTACAACCTGATGCTCTGTCAATCCAAGCTGATGTTTTTCAAATGACACTTAATTCTGTTATTTTTCTAAATGACCCTCGTGAACTGTGGAAACTGTCCCCCTACAGTTTGACAGGGATTCATGTAGATGAACTCTCAAGAGACGTCACCCTAAAAGCCATTGTCACCATTCTACCTTTTCAGCTCCTGTTCGGACTACTGGTATTAGATTTCCCATAGGATAAGTAGCGGTATTAATGACACTACTGAACATGGTACTAGCTTCGGTGTATATTTCCAGAGTTACAGGTCATCATCTGTGTCCCAATCAACAACAGTAATATGCAGTTGTCTGCCTGAGCCAATGGGACTCCAATCAGAAGATCATGACTGTCCACATGAAAGGGGTCTGTCGTGATACATTTTAAGAGAGTAGCTTGAAGTCTTGGCTCATGCAACCTTGTAAACTAGTAAAAGCTTGACAATTTTTCTTTCACTCCAGGACCACTGACCTACCTACTGGTGTGGCTCACTGTTACAATTCTCTCTGGTCTATCTGAGCCACATGATCAGCATCCCCTAACACTACGCCTTATCTATACTTCCATGCCTTCCATTGGTGTGCGCTTCTCCCTACCTCTCTTTACCATCTGCTTCTCTCTTCCCCTGTGCCTGTCACTCAGAACCCCCTGTTAGAGCTGAGGTATTATGGTGTATGTGTATATTGACTTTATGTTGAGGTGAGAGTTGCTGTTTTGTCTGTGAATGGTATGTAACTCCCCCAGATCGCTGTGTCTTTGTGAAGCATCAGTGCCAGTAGGTAGTCCTGACCAGTGTTTCCCCTAGCTTTAGCTTATTGAGTTATTATGCCCAGGGAAAGTAAATCTAGGGGAAACACCCAAACTCTTTCAGCTAAAAAAAAACAATGGGTGACTCATGATCTTAAAACACTAGATAGTCTTGGGTTGTATGAGATTGCAAATCTTGTTGCAATACCAAATAATTGATACACACATGTGCTGATGCATATTTGAGAAGTGCCTCCACAAGATTACAAAAGTAGTAATAGAAAATAAATGTGGTAACTTTCCAATATTCCAAACATCTGGGCCATATTACTGGCTGCCCACTCAATTGTATTTTAAAATAACTTGCATTGATAGAACATTGACTGGTTTGTGTATATTAACAATGGTACTCTTGAAAATGGGATTCAGTGCAATTAGAGCAAAACATCCATCCTTCAGACCACTACTCAAGGAACCAGAGGGAGAAATGGAGACCAGGAAAGAGAATTTGGTTTGTTGTGTGCATTGTCTTCGACTCCCATGTGTTATTTCCAATTAAAGGTTATCAAACCTCAATGAGTTTAGAATTCCTATAACTGCCTATATATGGAAAGTAGTTTTACAATGCACTGCTAAATCACACACTCATACAATAGCAGCCATACAGCCACGTACTTCAAAACAAAAACAGTCAACTTGATATTTTAATCACAAGCAAAATACCAGTGTCCAAACTCACTCTCGCACTGTGTGTCCCACTTACACTGTTGGAACATAAAGCAGAGGTGGTTACAAAAACAATCTACACAGAAGAATTACATAGCAGAAAGTCCTTTGTTTGCTTAGGCCCAGGAGGCATAAGGATTTTAGTGCCACACCATTCTGGCAATTTGCTGCTCTGTGTTGCAACATGGTGTGAGTGACGATGACAGAAACTTGTGGGTTGGCACAAGGCCGGCCCCACTGCCCACTAGAAGATGAGGTATATGCTGGGACAGTGGCAGACTAGCCCTCCTCTTAGCGCTAGGACCAGATGCAGAACTGAGCCTCCCTGGATCTTGTAGTCTGCAGCGGTCTTCTCATCGTTCCTGAGAGGGATGGGAGCAGATAAAACAAGTGTTACATCCAAGATGTAATGCCGCCACTTGATTAAATGGAGCAGATGTTTCATGACAAGATTGTGACGGAAGGGTTGATTACTTACATCTGTTTTCCACTGTAGATTAGTCTTTGTTGTTGAGGTGGAATCCCCTCTTTCTCCTCCACTCTTTCTTTAATTCTCTCCACCTTCATATGTGTACAAGAGAGCACATAAGCTAAATGTCATTACTGGGATATTTATTTATTTTATTTTTATGTAACCTTTATTTAACTAGGCAAGTCAGTTAAGAACAAATTCTTATTTACAATGACGGCCTACCAAAAGGCAAAAGGCCTCCTGCGGGGACGGGGGATAAAACAATTACGAAATATAGGCCAAAACACACATCACGACAAGAGAGACACCACAACACTACATAAAGAGAGACCTAAGACAACAACACAGCATGGTAGCAACACGACATAACAACAACATGGTAGCAACACAACATGGCAGCAGCACAACATGGTACAAACATTATTGGGCACAGACAATAGCACAAAGGGCAAGAAGGTAGAGACAACAATACATCACGCGAAGCAGCCACAACTGTCAGTAAGAGTGTCTTTGAATGAAGAGATGGAGATAAATCTGTCCAGTTTGAGTGTTTTTTGCAGCTCGTTCCAGTCACTAGCTGCAGTGAACTGAAAAGAGGAGCGACACAGGGATGTGTGTGTTTTGGGGACCTTTAACAGAATGTGACTGGCAGAATGGGTGTTGTATGTGGAGGATGAGGGCTGCAGTAGGTACAGTGGGGAAAAAAAGTATTTAGTCAGCCACCAATTGTGCAAGTTCTCCCACTTAAAAAGATGAGAGAGGCCTGTAATTTTCATCATAGGTACAAGTCAACTATGACAGACAAAATGAGACATTTTTTTCCAGAAAATCACATTGTAGGATTTTTTATGAATTTATTGGCATATGATGGTGGAAAATAAGTATTTGGTCAATAACAAAAGTTTCTCAATACTTTGTTATATACCCTTTGTTGGCAATGACACAGGTCAAACGTTTTCTGTAAGTCTTCACAAGGTTTTCACACACTGTTGCTGGATTTTGGCCCATTTATCCATGAGATCTCCCCTAGAGCAGTGATGTTTTGGGGCTGTCGCTGGGCAACACAGACTTTCAACTCCCTCCAAGATTTTCTATGGGTTTTAGATTGGAGACTGGCTAGGCCCCCTCCAGGACCTTGAAATGCTTCTTTCGAAGCCACTCCTTCGTTGCCCGGGCGGTGTGGTGTTGGGATCATTTTCATGCTGAAAGACCCCGCCACGTTTCATCTTTAATGCCCTTTTTGATGGAAGGGGGTTTTACTCAAAATCTCACAATACATGGCCCCATTCTTCTTTCCTTTACACGGATCAGTCGTCCTGGTCCCTTTGCAGAAAAACAGCCCCAAAGCAAAGATGTTTCCAACCCCATGCTTCACAGTAGGTATGGTGTTCTTTGGATGCAACTCCAGATTCTTTGTCCTCCAAACATCTTTCAGGCCCCAAAACCTTTTCAGCTAAAAAACAAACAATGGGTGGACTCATGATCTTAAACACTAGATAGTCTTGGGTTGTATGAGATTGCAAAATCTTGTTGCATACCAAATAATGATACACACATGTGCTGATGCATATTTGAGAAGTGCCTCCACAAGATTTACAAAAGTAGTAATAGAAAATAAATGTGGTAACTTTCCAATATTCCAAACATCTGGGCCATATTACTGGCTGCCCACTCAATTGTATTTTAAAATAACTTGCATTGATAGAACATTGACTGGTTTGTGTATATTAACAATGGTACTCTTGAAAATTGGATTCAGTGCAATTAGAGCAAAAACATCCATCCTTCAGACCACTACTCAAGGAACCAGAGGGAGAAGAAATGGAGACCAGGAAAGAGAATTTGGTTTGTTGTGTGCATTGTCTTCGACTCCCATGTGTTATTTCCAATTAAAGGTTATCAAACCTCAATGAGTTTAGAATTCCTATAACTGCCTATATATGGAAAGTAGTTTTACAATGCACTGCTAAATCACACACTCATACAATAGCAGCCATACAGCCACGTACTTCAAAACAAAAACAGTCAACTTGATCTTTTAATCACAAGCAAAATACCAGTGTCCAAACTCACTCTCGCACTGTGTGTCCCACTTACACTGTTGGAACATAAAGCAGAGGTGGTTACAAAAACAATCTACACAGAAGAATTACATAGCAGAAAGTCCTTTGTTTGCTTAGGCCCAGGAGGCATAAGGATTTTAGTGCCACACCATTCTGGCAATTTGCTGCTCTGTGTTGCAACATGGTGTGAGTGACGATGACAGAAACTTGTGGGTTGGCACAAGGCCGGCCCCACTGCCCACTAGAAGATGAGGTATATGCTGGGACAGTGGCAGACTAGCCCTCCTCTTAGCGCTAGGACCAGATGCAGAACTGAGCCTCCCTGGATCTTGTAGTCTGCAGCGGTCTTCTCATCGTTCCTGAGAGGGATGGGAGCAGATAAAACAAGTGTTACATCCAAGATGTAATGCCGCCACTTGATTAAATGGAGCAGATGTTTCATGACAAGATTGTGACGGAAGGGTTGATTACTTACATCTGTTTTCCACTGTAGATTAGTCTTTGTTGTTGAGGTGGAATCCCCTCTTTCTCCTCCACTCTTTCTTTAATTCTCTCCACCTTCATATGTGTACAAGAGAGCACATAAGCTAAATGTCATTACTGGGATATTTATTTATTTTATTTTTATGTAACCTTTATTTAACTAGGCAAGTCAGTTAAGAACAAATTCTTATTTACAATGACGGCCTACCAAAAGGCAAAAGGCCTCCTGCGGGGACGGGGGATAAAACAATTACGAAATATAGGCCAAAACACACATCACGACAAGAGAGACACCACAACACTACATAAAGAGAGACCAAAGAAAACAAAACAGCATGGTAGCAAACGACATAACAACAACATGGTAGCAACACAACATGGCAGCAGCACAACATGGTACAAACATTATGGGCACAGACAATAGCACAAAGGGCAAGAAGGTAGAGACAACAATACATCACGCGAAGAGCCACAAACTGTCAGTAAGAGTGTCTTTGAATGAAGAGATGGAGATAAATTTGTCCAGTTTGAGTTTTTTGCAGCTCGTTCCATCCTAGTGCAGTGAACTGAAAAAGGAGCGACACAGGGATGTGGGGTGTTTGGGGACCCTTTAACAGAAAGTGACTGGCAGAATGGGTGTTGTATGTGGAGGATGAGGGCTGCAGTAGGTACAGTGGGGAAAAAAAGTATTAGTCAGCCACCAATTGTGCAAGTTCTCCCACTTAAAAAAATGAGAGAGGCCTGTAATTTTCATCATAGGTACAAGTCAACTATGACAGACAAAATGAGACATTTTTTTCCAGAAAATCACATTGTAGGATTTTTTATGAATTTATTGGCATATGATGGTGGAAAATAAGTATTTGGTCAATAACAAAAGTTTCTCAATACTTTGTTATATACCCTTTGTTGGCAATGACACAGGTCAAACGTTTTCTGTAAGTCTTCACAAGGTTTTCACACACTGTTGCTGGTATTTTGGCCCATTCATCCATGCAGATCTCCTCTAGAGCAGTGATGTTTTGGGGCTGTCGCTGGGCAACACAGACTTTCAACTCCCTCCAAAGATTTTCTATGGGGTTGAGATCTGGAGACTGGCTAGGCCACTCCAGGACCTTGAAATGCTTCTTACGAAGCCACTCCTTCGTTGCCCGGGCGGTGTGTTTGGGATCATTGTCATGCTGAAAGACCCAGCCACGTTTCATCTTCAATGCCCTTGTTGATGGAAGGAGGGTTTCACTCAAAATCTCACAATACATGGCCCCATTCATTCTTTCCTTTACACGGATCAGTCGTCCTGGTCCCTTTGCAGAAAAAACAGCCCCAAAGCATGATGTTTCCAACCCCATGCTTCACAGTAGGTATGGTGTTCTTTGGATGCAACTCAGCATTCTTTGTCCTCCAAACATAACGAGTTGAGTTTTTACCAAAAAGTTATATTTTGGTTTCATCTGACCATATGACATTCTCCCAATCCTCTTCTGGATCATCCAAATGCACTTCAGACGGGCCTGGACATGTACTGGCTTAAGCAGGGGGACACGTCTCGCACTGCAGGATTTGAGTCCCTGGCGGCGTAGTGTGTTACTGATGGTTGGCTTTGTTACTTTGGTCCCAGCTCTCTGCAGGTCATTCACTAGGTCCCCCCGTGTGGTTATGGGATTTTTGCTCACCGTTCTTGTGATCATTTTGACCCCACGGGGTGAGATCTTGCGTGGAGCCCCAGATCGAGGGAGATTATCAGTGGTCTTGTATGTCTTCCATTTCCTAATAATTGCTCCCACAGTTGATTTCTTCAAACCAAGCTGCTACCTATTGCAGATTCAGTCTCCAGCTGGTGCAGTCTACATTTGTTTTTGGTGTCCTTTGACAGCTCTTTGTCTTGGCATTGTGAAGTTGGAGTGTGATGTTTGAGTTGTGACAGTGTATTTATACTGATAACAGATTCAACAGGTCATATCGACACAGGGATTGAAGAAAATTACGGTGTGAGAGCCAGAAATCTTTTGTTGTAGGAACAAAACTATTTCCACCATAATTGCAAATAATTATAAAAACCTACAATGGATGTTCGGATTTTTTTCCTCAATGTCTTCATAGGACGTGTACCTGATGAAAATTACAGCCTCTCCATCTTTTAGTGGGAGAATTGCACAATTGGTGGGTATACTTTTTCCCCAGTATCTCAGATAGGGGGGAGTGAGGCCTAAGAGGGTTTTATAAATAAGCATCAACCAGTGGGTCTTGCAACAGGTATACAGAGATGACCAGTTTACAGAGGAGTATAGAGTGCAGTGATGTGTCCTATAAGGAGCATTGGTGGCAAATCTGATGGCCAAATGGTATAGAACATCTAGACATGACTCCCCACTCCCCAGCAATGTATGCTGACATGAGTAATCAAAATATTACACATGGAAAGCAAACGCATGAGATTAATATCAACCTTCAGAGTAATGTAGATGTTTCATACCTTGTCTGTGGGCTCAATGTCGATCTCTATTTCTTTGCCAGTGAGAGTCTGTAACAGTAAAATAATTGTTCATTTTAGAGCATAAAATACCATATTGCAATAAACAGCAACATCTTATAAGGTTAGGTCTATGTTAGTGGATAATGGCTATGGTTCTACAGCACCTGTTTATTGTACTGAGTGAGGCCTTGTATCCTGTCTAGATTTTGATGTAGACTGGGGTGAGCAAAGCAGCTCAACCATAGGACGATGGCCATATAATTTAATTTAGTTAGGTAGTAACACCTAGCTAGCATATAGTTAGTTAGCTACCTAACGTTAATTAGTTATACTGAACAAAAATATATAAACGCAACATGTAAATTGTTGGTCTCATGTTTTATGAGCTGATATAACAGATCCCCGAAATGTTCCATATGCACAAAAAGCTTATTTCTCTCAAATTACTTGCACAAATCTGTTTACATCCGTTAGTGAGCATTTCTCCTTTTCCAAGACAATCCATCCACTTGACACCTTGTGCTGTGGACAATAAAATGTAGCTCTAAAATGTACAGTTTTGTCACACAACACAATGCCACAGATGTGTCAAGTTTTTAGGGAGCGCGCAATTGCCATGCTGACTGCAGGAATGTCCACCAGAGCTGTCGTTTTAGAGAATTTGTTAGTATGTCCAACCGGCCTCACAACCGCAGACCACGTGTAACCACGCCAGCCCAGGACCTCCACATCCGGCTTCTTCACCTGAGGGATCGTCTGAAACCAGCCACCATGACAGCTGATGAAACTGAGGAGTATTTCTGTCTGTAATAAAGCCCTTTTGTGGGGGAAAACTCATTCTGATTGGCTGGGCCTGGCTCCCAAGTGGATGGACATGGTTCCCCAGTGGGTGGGCCTGCCTATGTCCACCCATGGCTACGCCCCTGCCCAGTCATGTGAATCTATAGATTGGGGCCTAATGAAATTAAATAAATTGACTGATTTCCTTATATGAACTGTAACTCATAAAAATCGTTAATTATTGCATGTGGCGTTTATATTTTTTGTTCCGTATAGTTCACGTTAGCGAACTCTACATTCTATACGGGGATGACTGTTTCAATGCCAATGGCCTGCAGCGATGTCCACTATATAGCGTTTTTCAAATCAATTAATATATTTAGCTACGGCAGATAGCTAGATCGGCGATGAGATGATCATTCAGTCTGTAAACTAGCGGGCTTGGCCACCGATTAAATGGCTGGTCTTACCTTAACCTTGATCAGCATTTTGACTGTCGCATAAAATACGTTTTAAATCGATAAAAAAAAAAACTCATCCACATTTAGTGTGGTATTGTTGCCAAATTGAGCAAACCAAAGATTTTTCAACCATTTGATTCAACTTTACTTCCTGTGTAAGTCACTATTCCGTCCGTCCATCGTGTTTTGTGAGACATTGGTTCCGCTTCGCAAATAATTACTTTCTGGGGAAAAGATGTGACTATTACAAATGTAACTTTTAAAACCGTAAAAATTCAAGGATGTTTTTTGACCAAGAAATACAAAAACTGATGATGTTGTTAAGTTTTTAGGTCTATAATTATCACTTCTTGAACTCTCACAGATGTTCAGCATTAAGATAATTAGAATCAATTGGTCCATAAATATTTCTAGTTTCAGCCACTCCTAGATCATTCAGTCATGTCTCTCCTGTGGCAATGTGCAATCGTTTTGGCTGTTGTAGCAGCAAGGGCTGCCAACGACGGTAAGTCTAATAATGAACACATTATATAGCGCTGAGACCATGTAAACTTCAATTGGCTACTTATCTCATGCTGACAACCTAACAGACTAACCAAGTTGTGTTGATGTTGGCTATTGAGATGGGAGTGATGATATTGTCAAATTAAATTTTTAGATTTTAGTGTGGATTGTGAGAAACGCTCCATTAAAGTGACATGGAAGGTCAGTCCAGAGTTGGTTGAGAATGCTGCCCGTCTCTTCCTTGGACACTGCGTTCCATCCAAATTTTCTGTTCTTCCCACTGGAGAAGGGGAAGCGACATTCCACTACAACCTCAATGGCTGTGCAATCAAGAAACGGGTAATGTCTAACTCTTGACCCAATGTATACTATTTTGGATCCTGCGAAGACTAATGAGTCTCCTTCCATTCCCCAGGTGACTGGCAAAAAACACATCTACTCAACCAACCTGACTTACAGACCTGACCGAAAGCCCAAACCTGCTGCTATTAGTCACCACATTAAGTGTGTTTACACAAGGTAACCATCTATGCCAGGGGTACTCAACTCATACCCTAAGTGGTCTGGCGCCTGCTGGTTCTGTTCTACTTGATCATTAATTGCATACACCTGGTGTCCCAGGTCTAAATCAGTCCCTGACTAGAAGGGGCACAATAATAAAATGTAGTGGAACTGAGTTGAGGGCTCTATTGGGTGCAGTGTTGGTGTGGCGCAGCGTAGCAATGGTGTTGGAATCAAATCTTCCTAAGCCTTTGTCACCTTAACTGTAATGATTAAACCATACATTCCCCCTGTATGTAGACCTGAGGGATGGATTCCCCAATTCCTTATCCCTGCCTCTGGTAGTGCTGAGGGTCATGGAGGATTGGTTTTCCACATGGCACTCCTCAATGGTGAGTGACTCCTACAATATCATTGTTAGAGAATATGTTCAATCAACTTACCTGGTAAATAAATGCCTAGCAGAGGACACTGCCTGACGTGAGTTGAAACCTGTGGATGTATGGTACACATGTATTGCACCCCCTCTCTGTTGCATGTAGAAGACCTTACTGGTCTGGCCAAGACCAGCCTGTTCCCCCTGGGCTCTTTCATCCCCATCTGGGCAGCAGTGGACCAGAAGGACCACCAGCCCTTGCTGCTGCTCATGGAGGAGTGTGTGGCGGCCACTACACCAGAACTGCAGTCTGAGAGTCTGGTGTACCCAATAATCACCAACAAGGGGTATGTACCAGACCTGGTAATGTGCATGTTTCGGTTTTTGACCGCCTAGCACTACACAGCTGACTCAAATAACCAACTCATCAAGTGTTGCTTATTTTAAGCTGCTGTGTAGTGCTAGGGCAAAAACCAAAACTTGCACCCAGGGGAGGGAGGGGCGACTGAGTTGGGAAAACGCTGATGTAGGGGACAGATTCATCCCAACAACATATTGAGAATGTTGGCTTGTCTGGTGTGATTATTTGCTGGATTGAAGTTCTGTTTGTCTGCTCATTGCACAATGCAATTTCAGTTGCCTTGCAGATGGGAAGACTGGGAACTCCAGGTTCCTGCCTAGGTACCACTCGTCTGCTATCCTGCTTTACCTGCAGTCCTTCAAGTTTGCCCTCGGCGAGGAAGTGAGTGGCCCACAAGTTCTCGGTATGACTGGGTTGTTCATACTGTAGGTCTTGACTGTTCTCTTACTTCACCCCAGATATATATCCATTGCAAGCTTGTTGCATGGGACCCTGAGGTTCTTGATAAAGAAAAGAAGGCTTGCCACTACATTAAAGAGACTGGAGGGTTAGTATTACAGTTTATTGGTCACATTCTTTAACATTGGGCCATAATGACGGTAGTGCCAGTGCAACAGCTCTGTAACCTTGTTCTTTTTATTCGTAGATGGGAGCTGCTGGATGACCCGTCTCAAAGTGTCCTCTGCAAGTGCTGTGAATCCAGTTGCAAGCCTCGGTTGAAGAGGGGCTTGCATTCAGGTATTTTGAGGCACTTCATTTCAAGCCTGAATAAACTGTCAAGTTCCATATTAATTTGAGCTGATCATTCTTGAGTTTCTTATGGGAATGCAGCTTGAAGTAACTTTTCTCTTCAGAACCCCAGGGCTTGGTTCAAAACGCTGTCCTTGGACCGCTCACAATAGTGGGACACTCTGAAACCCAGATCCCCAGTGAATCCATAAAGTATCCTACTGTAGACCAAGGTTGGTGATTTTTATTTTTTTGGCCTTCAAGACTATAGTTTACAATTTAAAAGCAAAGTGTATCAGCTTTGATGCCAAATTAACTTGAACCTGTAACCTACTAATCTGTCCTCATTGTGTTCTGTATCCACAGTTGACTGGATGGTGTAATGGTCTGGAACACTTCGCTTGTCAGGTGTGTTCTGGTTATTGGGAGGCATTTTACTGTAACATCCCCAATGGCAATGAGCTGCATGTGACTAACAATTCTTCAACCTGTTACAGGGGTTTCTGTCTCACTGCCATCTGCCTGTTGTAGGAGGCCGGAAGGGTGCAGCCCTTTCCAGTACATTTGGAGAAGTGGTAGAAACTACAACCCCCATATGGATATGAAGTCCTTTGACTTCAGCGTTTTTCAATAAATGGAGTACTTCACAATGGTTTTTGTCTCTGGTGGTTGTCAAAAATGCTATGCTCCTGATGAGCTGTACCGTAAATCCAGGAGTGCAGCGCAGGTATCCACACAAACTAGCCAAGAGGTGACCATCTGGTTGTAAGAAGCTGTTTGATTCTTACTGTATCACCATGTCTCTTATGATGAACAATGTAAGTTATGGCATGTGAGCGCTCAGTGTTTTGTGACTACTTCATGTTCTGGACTACCCAGTGTCCTGTTTACACTTGAACTGTAACGCTTTCTTCTCTTGGCATAAATAGTTTGCTAATATTGATAGTCACAACAGGTGTTCATGCAATGGTAAAGCTATTCAAAAGATTGTCGTAAGTGAATCTGATTTATTTTGGGGGGGGCTATAATTTTTCAGCAGTAGGCCGACGGGGTTAAGACCCCAAGATCAAATTTACACACACGCAACGTTTAGAGATTGTAGGTGGATGATGGCCTTGCTTAGGTAACAATACAGACATGGCTGCAGTTGATCATTGGATTATATTTACAATTTTTACTAAATGACAATTAGATCACTAACTCTGTTTTGATGGAGTGACTTCTAAAATGTTGACACAGGATTTGTAGTTCAAGGCTAGTGGCAGCCAGAGGAACTTTTTATTGTGACCGTGTTTTTTGTGGGAATTACAGGGAGGGCACATCTTACCCCAGGGGGCGTCTCGCCCCATTTTACATTTACGTCATTTAGCAGACGCTCTTATCCAGAGCGACTTACAAATTGGTGCATTCACCCTATAGCCAGTGGGATAACCACTTTACAATTTTTTTTATATTTTTTTTTGGGGGGGTAGAAGGATTACTTTATCCTATCCCAGGTATTCCTTAAAGAGGTGGGGTTTCAAATGTCTCCGGAAGGTGGTGAGTGACTCCGCTGTCCTGGCGTCGTGAGGGAGCTTGTTCCACCATTGGGGTGCCAGAGCAGCGAACAGTTTTGACTGGACTGAGCGGGAACTATGCTTCCGCAGAGGAAGGGAAGCCAGCAGGCCAGAGGTGGATGAACGCAATGCCCTCGTTTGGGTGTAGGGACTGATCAGAGCCTGAAGGTACGGAGGTGCCGTTCCCCTCACAGCTCCATAGGCAAGCACCATGGTCTTGTAACAGATGCGAGCTTCAACTGGAAGCCAGTGGAGTGTGCGGAGGAGCGGGGTGACGTGAGAGAACTTGGGAAGGTTGAACACCAGACGGGCTGCAGCATTCTGGATGAGTTGTAGGGGTTTAATGGCACAGGCAGGGAGCCCAGCCAACAGCGAGTTGCAGTAATCCAGACGGGAGATGACAAGTGCCTATGATATTTACATTTTACATTTTAGTCATTTAGCAGACGCTCTTATCCAGAGCGACTTACAGTTAGTGAGTGCTTACATTTTCATACTGGCCCCCCCGGTGGGAAACGAACCCACAACCCTGGCGTTGCAAGCGCCATGCTCTACCAACTGAGCTACAGGGGACCAATCAAATGTACATTCAACGTTGTGTGACGTTGTTCGCCCGCAGGGGTCTTTATTGATTTTTTTTTTGTGTGAAAAGTATGCAGGTGAGTGAATACAGTATCAACACTGTATATATAAACTCATCATAAAATTATTTCAGAAGACTACAGCTCTGAACTGAAATACACGAGTATACCAAATATTAAGAACACATGCTCTTTCCATGACAGCTTTTTCACGCTCAACAGTTTCCCGTGTGTATCAAGAATGGGTGGGGGTGCAACTCAGGTGTTCCTAATGTTTGGCATACTCAGTGTACGTATTCATGCTGTACTATTACCCTAATATTACCCTATGCATAGAATTAGGTATTAGAATAGCTTCTAGTAATTTATACTGAACAAAAATATAAACACAACATGTAAAGTGTTGGTCCCATGTTTCATGAGCTGAAATAAAAGATCCCAGAAATCTTCCATACCCACAAAAAGCTTATTTCTCTCAAATTTTGAGCACACATTTGTTTACATCCCTGTTAGTGAGCATTTTTCCTTTGCCAAGATAATCCATCCACCTGACAGGTATGGCATATCAAGAAGCTGATTAAACAGCATGATCATTACACAGGTGCACCTTGTGCAGGGGACACTAAAAGGCCAATCTAAAATGTGCAGTTTTGTCACACAACACAATGCCACAGATGTCTCAAGTTTTGAGGGGGCGTGCAATTGTCATTCTGACTGCAGGAATGTCCACCAGAGCTGTTGCCAGAGAATTGAATGTTAATTTCTCTACATAAGTCGCCTCCAACGTAGTTTTAGAGAACAACCGCAGACCACGTGTAACCACGCCACCCCAGGATCTCCACATCCGGCTTCTTCACCTGCAGGATTGTCTGAGGCGGGGGTGCTGAGGAGTATTTCTGTCTAATAAAGCCCTTTTGTGGGGAAAAACTAATTGGCTGGGCCTGGCTCCCCAGTGGGTGGGCCTATGCCCTCCCAGGCCTATCCATGGCTGAAGAAATAATTAATTTCTATTGACTGATTTCCTTATATGAGTTGTAACTCAGTACATTTTTTTAAATTGTTGCATGTTGCGTTTATTTTTGTTTAGTGTAATGTGATCTCTATGACCCTATGCCTGTATATTGTGGTAAGGCCCACAGCAGGACAGTGACTATCCTTTTTGGTGAGGCAGTTCAGTCTCTCAGCATGTCAGAGCATTTTGTGAAAAACGTGGCCCCTTTTGCCCTTTCCTAACCATTGTATTCTTCACACAGACAGAATGTAAATCTGCTGTATCATTCTGCTCCCTCTCCCTCGTGGACAAGGGCATGACAACACCAAGGTCGATAAATCGCTGACATCACAAAACAAATCCGATAGGGTCACAGGAAGCAAAGCGAGGAGAGAGAGAGAAAAGGAGAAAAGAAGGAGGTGGACGCCAAGTGACAGGCTCCATCTTTGGACCGGTGCCATTTCCTAAGGATGACTCTTCTTTCTCTCTTGCACCGCGCACTATGCCCTGCCCCCATGTCTGCAGTGCGGGATACTGAGAATACTCCAAATACCCCGTCTATGCTTGGTCTCTGGCTCCATTTCACTTTCACTCTCTCTCCGGTGTGAAGCCGAGGCAAAAACCCCATGCTGTAAATGTTGGCTAAGATGGATATGAGCTGAGATGATGCCCTTCAATACAATATTTGTAATATTTTTATTTAACCTTTATTTTGACAGGGCGTCATGCTGAGACCCAAGGTCTCTTTTACAGATGAGCCTTGAATCAAACATACACATCAATATACACTATACACATCAATATACACAATATATATATATATATATATATATGAATAATAATAATATACATGAATACACAAAAAGCAAAACACAATCATATCAAACAAACACATTCTTCAGTAAAAAATTCCTCAATAAGCCATCTGAATTTCCCTAGAGGCATCAAGCCTTCCCATTTTAGATTGCTTTGAAGATTATTCCACAAGGTGCCATAAAACTAAAATCTGATTTACCTAATTCAGTGGAGATCGAAGGGATCTCCAGAGTTAGCCATCCCTGAGACCGGGTCTGTTAACTCGTGCGTCTGTAGTGTTAACAATGAAGCAAGGTAGAGCAGAAGTTTATGCAAGAGGGCTTTATAAACAAAAAGAGTGCAATGTATTGATCTAGGAGACTTCAAAGAGGGCCAGCCTACTTTCTGATACAGAAAGCAATGATGTGTACTGAACCTGTCGCCCGTAATAAAGCGTAGTGTTATATGATAAACTGCGTCCAAAGGCTTCAATACAGTGGCAGCTGCATTCATATAAACAATATCACTATAATTTATAACCAGTATGAATGTCTAGTGAATTATTTTCTTTCTGCTATTTAATGAAAGGCATGCCGTATTCTTATAAAGGAAGCCCATTTCAATTCTTAACTAATTCATCAACATGCTTTCTGAAAGACAGCTTCTCGGCAATCCAGATACCCAGACATGTATAATTGGGGACACAACCAATCCAATGTACAAATGCATAAATCATCAGATACATTTGAAAGCTTTTTAAACATATACTTAGTTTTACCTGCATTAAGTACCAATTTTAGTTCAACAAGGGCTTTCATCAAAGCAAAACAAATTCAGATTGTAGCGCCGAGAGAGCCTTGTCAACAGAAGGGGCAACACAATACAAAACAGTATCATCTGCATACAAGTGGAGGTTACAATTTCCTACGAACAAACCAATGTTGTTTATATAGACAGTAAAAACTACAGGGCCCAAAATCAACCCCTGTGGGACAACCTTAGTAATATCAAGGAAGTCTGACTTAACACTATCAGAAGAAACACATTGTCTCCGGTCTGTCAGGTAGTTTTCCAACCAGATGAAGGCTGCCTGACCCAGGCCAATTTCAGACAGTCTACGAATTAATATTGAATGGTCAACAGTGTTGAAAGCCTTCAACAGGTCTAAAAAAAGGGCAGCACAATGCCACCTTTTGTCCATGCAATTTAAAATGTATTTTATCACCAAAGCAGCAGATATAGTGCTATGACCTGGCCTGAAACCAGACTGATGGACACTTAGAATACATTTTGAAGCTAGAAAAAATCT